CTGAAGAAGATATCAACATAAATTTGAGAACGTAAGTGGAAGTGGTTCAGCCACACACTACGAAGTGAATCTGCTAGCAAACGCTGGTTAAGAACCCAGGGGCTCATGGTTATGGAATTACTGAATTTCACGTGACATACCGGATTCCGAAGGAGAAGGCGATCTTCATCAAGTTCAAATCAGAAACAAGTGTACATTATGCCCTGATGCATAACCCGAAGTAACTAATTTTCCATTATGCTAATGGAAAGGCAGTGGACATATGGATGTCGTTTGCGGGGGCCAACGTTCAATACGTACGAGTGTACGATTTATCACCAGATTTGTCAGACCGTTGGTGCTGGGGAAATACGGGAAAGTAAAACGAGTCTACCTGTGTCTCCTCGAGATCGTTAAGTCGACGATAACAGGAGCACATACCGTGGTAGAAGCAACAATAGCTGCAATTTACAAACCTACGACTAGATGCCTCCCTTCAGATGACGACTTGAGTGCGGTAAAAATCGATAGAACTGTTTCCAACACTTCGTTGGTAAATGAACAAATCGGTGATCATCTCTTTTTGCCAATGATGGCGGGTGGGATACCCCTCACCGCCTTCCTCAAAGTTGTCCTTGCTCGCTTTCTACTCTCTATATACAATTTTCATACTGCCTTAGTCTAACGGAACTATCAACTCTATACTTTCATCGCCTAATCTATCGTATAAAAATAATCACTTTAGTCTGTTATTTGAAATTAGCATCTTCAACTATGTAAATCGTTAACTTCACGCAGAAGTAATATAAACAAAATAGTTAAAGTATATAAATTGACCGTTATATGCGTGATCCATGAGATATTGTTTGAGATATATCTATTTGTCTGTGATAAATGTATACAACCATCAATCAACACTCCTGTAAATAAATAATTAAATAAATGCCTATTTTGTTTCCGTAATACAAGAAGATTAATCAGACTAATGAAAGCACTAAAATGGAATATATATTGTGGGTCAATTAGGGGGCGCGTATTACCCCACGTTCCCCTATGCTAGTGTAGTTACTGGAAGTGCATCTTTGGACAGCAAGAGCCAGGAAACAGAGAAAGTGATAGAAGTGCTGCATGAAGAGGTGGTGCCAAACAGCCACTCATCTACTACCTCGTAACGCCATTGGGCACCCCTGTAGGGGTACCAGTTAGACAAATTCTAAACGAGCGCTGATTAATTGCGGGTTTTTCCCCGTAACGTGGATAGATCAACTTTTCGTGATACGTCACGGGATGTAAGATCAACCACCGAATCCTAGCCCTGACTGCTTCAAACTAGGCTAACATGATTTTTCAGTAATCAAAGGAACGTATCTTAGCCGTAGTTACTTTTTATTCTTTGTTGATAGTGAACACTCGGCTTTGTCCACCGAAGATGAACTTGAAACAAGGAAAAAAGTGAGTTAGTTAGTCTTCATCTATGTGATTCCTAATCTTCTATTCGTTGTTCCCTAGTTTGAAGTGGTTTTTTTTTTTTTTTTGTTTTTTTTTTTTTTTTTTTTTGTGGTAAGGATTAGGGTTCCGATGCTTGGCCATTATCGGTGTCATTGCTTATTTCTGTTGCTAAAGAATCCAATTTTGACTGACAAACCCGTATAAATGCGAACCATTACTTGACCTTACTGAAAATGGTTAAAAAAAATTATAATCCCTGCTAAACTTTAACTGAAATGGTTATGGACGTTTGTGTGATAAAGTTTTAGCCTTATGTATTACGGTTTGTTGGAAGTGAACATTACAAATAATGATTGTTTTCTCCATACATTTTTGGGAAAGGAATTATATTGGAACCATTTTATTTATGATTTAAGAACTTTAATGGTAATGGTTATGGTAGTCGGTAAGGTTCATAGATGGTTTTGTATCATCGATAAACTTTATGTGGAGTATATCGCGAATTGGCTGCCTGTAAATTACTGATTACCAATTTGCGATAATACCGATAATACAAAAAAAATTAATGGACCTTACTGGCTACCATAACCATTACCATTAAAGTTCTCAAACCATAATTTAAAAGGTTTTAATATAGACCTCTCTCTGAAAATGCATGAAGAAAACAACTAATGGTTCTTAACAACCCATTATTTGTAAGGTTCACTTCCAAAGAACCATAATACATAAGGTCATGTAAAGTTCCATAACCATTTCGTTTCAAGTTTAGCAGGGATTATATATACAATTTTTAACCATTTTCGGTAAGGTCAAGTTATGATACGCGTTTATGCGGGAAGGAACGCGCCTTTGGAGGGTGTTTCAACTAGCAATGGGCGATCTTGGATCGAATCACAAAAGATCGATTCTTTTGGTTCGATTAACGATTTTTTGAATCAATCTCAAATACGACTAAAATCGACTGGATCGATCGTTTTCATTTGATTTTTGTTTCGATCCAACAACAATAATCAGTGCATTTGCATTTGCAATTAAATATATGTACACCTGTACCTGGAGTCTTCAACTCACGCTCGGTTAGTTAAAATTAACCACTTCATTCGAGCAGATAAAATGACGTTTACTACCACTCGAACTTTGAAATGAAACATTATTTTAAGATTTTGTCTTCTAGAACCTCGAAAAAAGTAGCCAACATTTGTGCGTTTCACAAAAAAAAAATAGTAATTAGTTGGTCCAGTTTTGTGAAATCGCTGGTAGAAAGTCACGCCAAAACTGCTTGACAAAGTGGTCAATTGTTTCTGAGCAGATCTATAATACCGAAAGAGTATACGATGATTTCACACATCTGTCCCCCCTCCCCCCCAAACAAACCGGAGGCGTGTGGGATATTCATGACGAAATAGTAAAGAATGTTATCAATCTAGTTATATACATCTACATTCATTTATTATGACATATTTCAGGTTCAGAACTGGATTGCCATGGGGGCATATCGGCAGAATTACAAAATTTCTTGCATCAGCCTGTTTTACCACGTTCTGTCGATCCTTTGCGAGCATGGTAGAAATACCGTAGTGTATATCCCCATGCTCGAGACTATTTATCAAGAATGGTAACAAGTGTTTCGTCAGAGAGGCTATTCTTCCGAACTGGTGGAACCACACAGAATCGATATCGGCTCAATGCAAAACGCATGGCTCAATTAGCCTTCTTGGGATCCCTCTCGGATGAGTTTTGGGATATCTGAATTAAGGACTTACCTGCTTTTACCCTCCGACCACCTAATCGTTTTGTTGCATATGTTAGTCTTTCGTTCTTTAAATCGTTCATTTAATACCAATAAAAACGAATTTTATGACCTGTTAATTCGCTTGCCTAATCAAGAATCCTGAGCAAAAACTTCCACATGTCAAATGAAATCAAAATAGTCATTTACTATATTCTAACATTGACCATCCGTTAAAGAGTTCGATCCGCGCTACACGGTAAAGACCGTAAAGCATGGAGGTGGTAACATCATGGTTTGGAGCTGTTTTTCTTAGTATGGAGTAGGTCCCATTTTCCGTATTAATTCCATCATGACTAGATTTGAATGCAAAGAAATCATGGAGGAGGTTATGCTCCCTTACATGCCTCTTATATGGCATTTTCAGCAAGACAACGATCCGAAACCCAATTCTTTGTATGTAAAGGAATGATTTCGTGCAAACAAAGTGTCGGTTATTTCATGACTTAGCCAATCTTCTGACATCAACATCAGTTCAAAAAGAGTGGTATGCTATACCAAAGAAAAGTTGTCAGTGCTTGGTTGAGTCAATGACAAGAAGATTGAACTAGGTTCTACTTAACAATGGAGGGCACAGCGGTTTTTTTCCTTTGATTTGTTTTCCGTGCTGAGCACCAATACTTTTTCACTGATATCCAACAAAATAGCTCCTCGGTGATGCCCATCACGGCAAAAATCCAAGTGTGTAGCTCAGCCATTTATTGACAAATTTCAAATCTATAGGCAAAACTTGAAACCAAGCTTTTCGGATTTATGAAGCTATGAGATATTTCAATGATAATTCTTATTTACAAGATGCAAGAAAAGAAGGTAAAGTGTGTGTATGACACATAAATCCTATCAATTAAGCTTCCAGAGGGTCACAATAGCGATTAGCTGTAACGATGAGCAACGCGATGAGCGAGCAATCAGCGATCATAAAATCGTTAGTTGTGTTAGTTGTTGTATCCCATAGTTTCATAATTACGAAAACTAGCATTTTAGTTGTAATGAGCAATTGCAAGTCTGCTTGAAACTACAGACTTTAAAAATTTATTTGGTATCAATAGATTTAAAATATATTGCTAAATTGCTGAGCAATGATTTTCAATCAATGATAATTTGAAGTTACACATTTTACCGAAGGCATCGTGTTCGAGATGTTAGACAAACGGTGTGCATCATGTATAGAACCTTTATTTCTAACGTTATGCAGAGCCTTGTTCAGAATGTAAAACATACGTTTTATAAAACAATTTTACTGCTGCAATCAAACCACGGCATTAGGCACTAAAAAGTACGGCGGTGCTCTAAATCCTATTCTATCAATATTTTGTTTTGTACGTATGTGTAACCAGTTGTCAAATTTGTAGTAAAGATGACTCGATATGCTAACGTTTGCGATAATATAAAAAAAAAAAACAATATTGCAAATGTTCAAGTTTATTGTCAAACCCACGGTATTAGGTGCTTGCGGAATTAGGGTTGATTTTTCACAAACAAAAATTCAATTCTACTAATTAACATTACCAGTAGCTGGGAGATTGTCTCATCTGTATGATATAGTAGAGCTGTTACACTTTGAGTGCTTGAATTGTTGTTTTCCAGAAATGGTGTGTTACGAATTTGAATGAATCGTGTCTCACTACTTAGCATCTATGCTTAATTAAGTATATAAATTAAATCAACTGAAGTAAATTCAAACTGCAGTTGCAGATTGCATCTATGAATCAATTTGTGTACAAATAGAGGACATACCCAATTAAAACATTCCACCCCATGAAGTTAAAGGAAATTCTCTTACCTTCGCGTTATCTAATATAATGTGATTTACTTTTTGCACATCCAGGTGAAAACAGCTCACTCCCACAGTATGTTCGGCCACGAAGATTGCCACCAGAAAAGCAGCGAAGTAAAGCATTTTTACACTACCATCCCATGCAAAGCCAGTCCGCCGCAGTAGACGTTGCTGTAACGAGCGATATCGACGCAGCATTTTTCGTTGCACATATCTTCAATCTGGTATTTCGGAACTCTGCTGTTTTCCGGCACTGCAGGCACGTATAGAAACGGTTAAACTCGTTGTAAAATTCCCATTTTGTCACTTTTATGTTAGGTGCTCTGTATCGTTATCTACCGGCGAGCATTAATTAAAATCACTGCAGCATTACGACGACCACATTTTCTGTGGGGAAAATTGCACCCTACTAATATAACTAGTGGAGTGCGGATGCGTTGAGTTCAACTCGTTTTGAATTTATACCGCATTCTTTGAGGAATTCTGAATCAAAACCACACTAAACTATTCTTTACAACTAAGCCTATATACGATGTTAATAATCCATGACAACCTGACTGCAAAAGATTAGTATACGCACTTAGGCTCAGAAATGCTACACCATGAAGGATGAAATGTGTTGTGCCTTACTCACTGATATACTACTAGACAAAAAGTGTTCATGTTTGCTAGTCACTCAAACAACAATAATTATTGTTTAGAATCACTAGAGCCCAACACGATGGGCGCTTCACCGTTGAGCCACAGTGCTGTGGTCAGAGCAAAGCTGGAAAAGCGTTTGAACACCTCGGCGGTTAGTGTTTAACTGAAATAAACGCTGGAAAAATAGTTCTGCATGCACTCAGCTCACGTTGAGTAGGACTAATGGAGCCAAATATGGTATGGCAGGGATGATGTTGAACTCAACCAGAGCAAGAGAAAAGCCTTCGTCAATGATACTAACTCCAAAAGCATGCGACTCGGCTTGGCTCGACAGCAGTGGAGCAGTATTGTGTGAACTAATATAATCGACAAATGACAATTGTGAATGAGCTTTACTGTTGAGGTTCGTAGCTCGTAGGCCAACCGGAGCTTGAATGCTCAGCCGGCTAGATGCGTTTTTGAATGCAACTTGGTACGCAGGTGGATGCGCTCCATCTACCAGGTATACAAAATAAGTCTAATTTAATTAAGAGAGCACACGCTGCGGTTGGATCATTATGACGTAATATGGAACCTGTTTTATCCGTTTGTATATACAAATCAAACTAAAATGAAAAATCCACACACAAAAATTGACACATGAAAAGAAAGAAAGAAAAATCATCATACGCTTTCAAAACATAATTTCAGCTCTACCAAATGTCTTCCATTACAATTCATTTTTTCTATTATTTTATTTTATAACTATGATAAAAATAAATTAAATGCTGGGAATTCCGGCTTGGTAGTCTTGTGAAACTTCAAATTAGAATGTATTTCAGTGGAATACTCCATCAAGGTATAAAACACATGAATACTTATAAGCTGAAACAAAAAATAGGAATGCATACTTAATCCAAATGATACTATCGGTCTGAGTTTGTGTCTATTTGTAAAGACCACTGACACTGTCTTCAACCCAAGGTTCAACCAGAAGTTGCATATACTGAATACTTACTTAACATTAGACATCGGACAACACACAACAGGCAGTAGACCAGTAGTCTTCAAAGAGCATCCCTTAGCTTTAATGTTATGTTCAAACTATAGACATATAATATGCTATATTAATTATCGACAAGAAAAAATCAGTAAGATAGGCTTATAACATGCGATAACTCTGTAGTCTGAACATAGCATAATACGATAATACCATAGAGTTAACTCTAAGACCATAAGGTAGGGATTAAGGTAAGCGATTTATTGTACTGTGGAAGAGCTTGGGGTTAAATAAGTAAGCAAAATCGATCCCTCCAGGGTCATCGAGCATCTCATAATCCACAGCGCTTCGCGTCAAAGTACGAATATATGGATGCACTATCTATTATTGAATAACTATTATTTACGATAAGTACATGAAAGAAATAAAATATAAACTACAAACAAAACGTGAATACTAAAATCTCAAAAAGATATTCTCATGCAACCAGGAATCTCAAAACCATTAGACGCTATAATGATACTCTGCACATGTTAGACACAAGAAGATGCCAAAAAGTAAGCGTTTGACACACAAAACCCGCCAAATCCACTTGCAGTCACAAACAACGATTCTACGAATCACAAGCGCTCACGAATCATAGAACCACCGACTGCGACACTCTGAAAGCGAAATTGACAGGCTCTATGCGTTAAACACCCGCCCTTCAATCTCCTCCCGCATCCAACAACACAAATCTCCATTACAACATCTAACGAATTCACAACTCCGAAAATCACTAATCTATAGCAAGTAAGTGGAAGCAACCCTGCATGCAACCATTCTTCATGATACACTTTTTCTGCCTATCTTTCTGGGAAAATTTTCAGAACACAAAAAAAAAACTTGAAAAAAACTTTCAAAGGTTATTACAAGTAAAATAAATTATGATTATTTTACGGCAAAACGAGCAAGTAATATTAAATCTCTTGTATCGTATGCTAATGCGAATTGACTGTAACAAAAATAATATGCTTAAATAAAATAAAATATAAATAAAATTATATGCAAATTTTACTAGAAGATCATTACTTTATTGGTGAGAAGTTTTTAATAAGCCCTCCCAGTTCCTCTGTATACAGAACAAATCTGATACTATAATCAGAATTGCTCAGTCTGCATGAAGCAGCCGATTTCATCAAGGAAGTTCTATTAACAACCAAGAATTAATCGTTTGAGGCATACTGAAGCATTAAGAAGGTGATATGTGTCACTATAGGAAATCATCATCGTTGCAAATATAAAGAAATTAAGCATAACCCTTTGCTTCAGTACCGTCAACCTCCATATCCATGGGGAGGGATTTTATAAAGAGTACACAGCAAAAAAAAATTAATATCAATCAATGTAATTCAAGCTGATGTATGATATAATGATATAATAGCGAAAAGCAGATACAATATTACATCAATGGATGTAACTTTGTTCGCAAAATCGATGTACATCGTACAACCATAGAGGTAACTCTAAGACTAGAATGTCTCGAAATAACGTGCTCAACTCTTCGGTCCCAAGCTAATCGATTCACCCCTCGAAAATAAACTAACCCCTCATTTTATCTGTCAAACTTTCATAGCGAATCAAAACAAACATTGTGTAGTAGTAGAATTTCGACTAGAATGGGGTACGTTAATCGTTTGCTTGGGACCAATAGGCTAGTCAAGTAGTGAGCCAATTAAAAATCGTTAGTTTCGTATTGATTGTTGGTACAACGTTATATTACACAAGCGATGGATTGACCTGGTTGCAGCAGTTTGGATGTAATATTCAACAACTTTTTTTTCTGTGTAGCCTATTGACGCCAAGCAAACGATTAAAGTACCCCATTCTAGTCGAAATTCTAGTACTACACTATGTTTGTTTTGATTCGAAATGCAATTTTGACAGTTAAAATGAGGGGTTCGCGAATTTTCCTATGTTTGGAGGGGTGCATCGATTAACTTGGGACCGAAGAGAGTACCAGAGCTGAGCCAAAAAGTTGAGCTCGTTTCTTCGGGACCTTCTCGTCTTCGAGTTAAACGCTGTCCAGACTGGAGAGTTATAACACAAACGAAGTGACAGACGACTAACTGGCGAAGAAATCCATTAAAATAATGTGGTTCACTGTAATAGAATTTTCTTGGAAGCTTGTGCCATCATCCACCAGATGGATTAGTTTTTTTGTTTTGATTTGAACAAAGTTGATTTTGTGTACAATGATTCTTTGACAGTGTGCAAAGAGCTAGGGGCATCCCACTCTGAACTAAAGCTCTAGTATCAATTAAGTATTTCCAAGTATCTGATAAGTATTCTTAAGTATTTTTAAGTATTTTAAGTTTTTGATTTTTTTTTTAATCGTAGTAACCGGTTTCTAATGTTGTTGTATATTCCGTCAATGTATTACTTTAATGTGTTAAAATTAAATGAAGCAGTGTAATCATGTTTATGAGTAAGTACTTTAATTCTACTTATGAAATAGATCATCAAAACACAATTTTCTTTCAGCAAACCAGTTGGAGCAGGGACTGCTGTTGTGTCGAGAATTTATCCGATCAGAATTATTTGATTTCGACCTGGCTGATATCAAACTTTTGAATTCTATTGCTTAACTGGAGGTTAATGATGCCGTTGTCGTCCAGACTCACAACCAGATTTCAAACTGACCTTCCTAACCTACCAGTCTGAACTGCCATAATAAAAGTGTATGTTGGACGGAATTTCGGCTAAGAATTACCGCAAGCTGCATGAGTATGGAGTTATTGACTAGGATACTAGGACTACGCTCGTTATTTGTCAGAGAGCAATAGAAACACAATGAAGCATAACTGCCTTGAAATTGAACTGATTGCAATTGCCACTGGCCACGGACTGGTGAGGGAGTTGAATGAGTATCCTGATAGTAGCCGAAAGATTTATGTGAAATCAACTTGATTTTCTAACTTTTAGGCATTGAAACCAGTAAGAATAAGAAGGAAGATATTAATCTGTTCTGTAATAATAATTAATTTCAAACCATTGATATACCAAATAAAACGATGTACTTCAAAAACGTAACTTATTTTTTCTCATTTCGTGTAAAATAATCTTAAAATAAAACATATGAATTTATTTCAAACAATTTCCCAAACAATGTTTAAAGCGATTCCGACGTTAACACAAAGCGGATATGTTGGTTCGTCATGTCCAGCCTTAATAATAAGCCTTAACCAGGAGAGCATCGAAGGTTTCAATTCCGAGGAAATGTGATTCACTTATACAATAAACTCATTCGGCGGAAATCTAGGAGATGTGGCTTTCCGGATGCCATAAGTACGGATGGCGCGGAAAGCTTTCACAACTTCGTATTCAGCTTCAATCAGCGTAAATTCCTGAGGTTATCATCCCACGGTAAAGATCCTAACGGACGAAAAATCCATCTCCAACCGGTTCACCCGTCATTCAAAGGAAGAATAAGGAGCTATTTGGAAAGTTATTGTAAAAAAAGTGCATTTGAAAGCAAATCCTCGAAACAAATTTGTCTATCCAAAAACCATCTATCGATAAGGTTTTTGGATAGACAAATTTCAGTGCCAACATTTCAAAGGGGCGTAATTGCATTTGTAAACAAAGGCTTTAGCCATCGATTTCTCGAATAAAAGCTCACTCATGAAAAATAATGACACCACCAGGTAGATAAATGTTTCCTCTACCAGCTAGCATAGTAATTTTGGAGAGGTAAGATTTCATTCGCGAGAAATTGACGGCTCAAGTCATTGTTTACAAAAGCATTTACGCCTTTGAAATGTTGGCACTGATTTGTTTCGAGGGTTTGCTTTCAAATGCACTTTCTTTTACAATAACTTTCCAAATAGCTCCTTATTCTTCCTTTGAATGACAGGTTAATAGTTTGGCAATTTAATATTCCTTGAATCAAAATGGTCTCCTCTTCGATTCCTACACAAAAGGAATAAATTTAAAAATAATAGTTGAATTTCTAAATACGCTCACACAAAATCCCAGATGACACCGGGTAAATAAACAATGAAATCTGTCTAGCAACGGTGGTAACAAACTAGAGCTAAATATTTCTTAAGTATTTTTAAGTATTTTCAGGTATCTTAGATATCAGTTAGAACTTTCCGAGTATAATGCGAGAAATACAAAGTTTAGAGTGGGATGCCCCTAGGCAAAGAGTGTATCATTTTGTCATTTTGTTAGGCATTTCAGTTTTGAGTAGAGTGAAAGAGATAGAACCCAAGGTGACTACAAATAGGTGTTCTAATGTGTCAAATTCATGATTCAGCCATGTTGGATTTTTGTATGGGACAGCGACCGAGTTTGTTTACAATTTGCTCTAAAACCGCACTTTTCCCCCCCGCGACCTCCTCGCCTATATAGTGACAAAGCTGTATCACCATTTATATACCCACCATGATAGAACCAAAACATTCTAATACATTTGGTGAAAATGCTAGTACAATCCAGTAGTAGCACAAACGAAGTGACAGACGGAGCGGCTCGAAAACTTTGGTGACTAACCTGCTATTGCAATTTTTCAGTGTACCACATGGCAACACCACTACCACTGGATTGTACCACATGGCAACACTACTACTGGATTGAACTAGCATTTTCACCAAATGTACTAGAATGTTTTGGTTCTATCTCTTTCACTCTACTCAAAACTGGAATGCATAAAAAAATGATAAAATGATACGCACTCTTTGCACACTGCCAAAGAATCATTGTACACAAAATCAACTTTGTGCAAAACCAAAACAAAAATACTATCCCATCTGGTGGATGATGGCACAAGCTTCTAAGAAAATTCTATTACAGCGAACCACATTATTTTAATTGATTTCTTCGCCAGTTAGTCGTCTGTCACTTCGTTTGTGGTAGTAGCATAGAGGTAACTCTAAGACCACTGGGTCCCGAAGAAAATCATTATTATTTTTGGCTCACTCAGTACCAGAACAACGGTCCCAAGCAGTCCCAAGCTATTTCACTCACCCCTGCATGTTCTGCATGAATCCACACACCCCTGATGTTATCTGTCAAACTTTCATAGCGAATCAAAACAAACATAGTGTAGTAATAGAATTTCAACTAGAATAGGGTACGTTAATCGTTTGCTTGGGACCAATAGGCTACTAAAGTGGTGAGCCAATTTAAAATCGTTAGTTTCGTATTGATTGTTGGTAGTAGTGTTGCCATGTGGTACAATCCAGTAGTAGTGGTGTTGCCATGTGGTACACTGAAAATTTGAAATAGCAGGTTAGTCACCAAAGTTTTCAAGCCGCTCCGTCTGTCACTTCGTTTGTGGTTATAACATGTTATAACCAACAATTAATACGAAACTAACGATTTTAAATTGGCTCACTACTTGACTAGCCTATTGGTCCCAGTTAGTCGTCTGTTACTTCGTTTGTGGTAATGCCAACAATCAACACGAAACTAACGATTTTAAATTGGCTCACCACTTTAGTAGCCTATTGGTCCCAAGCAAACGATTAACGTACCCTATTCTAGTTGAAATTCTATTACTACACTATGTTTGTTTTGATTCGCTATGAAAGTTTGACAGATAACATCAGGGGTGTGTGGATTCATGCAGAACATGCAGGGGTGAGTGAAATAGCTTGGGACTGCTTGGGACCGTTGTTCTGGTACTGAGTGAGCCAAAAATAATAATGATTTTCTTCGGGACCCAGTGGTCTTAGAGTTACCTCTATGGTAATGCCTTGTTCAGACTACAGTGTTATAACAACAATCAATACGAAACTAACGATTTTAAATTGGCTTACTAATTGACTAGCCTATTGGTCCCAACCAAACGATTAACTTATCCCATTCTAGTCGAAATTCTAGTACCCAGTCCTCACTCTACCGATTTAATCCTCACCGTACATTAAGTTTTTAAAATGTTGTCTGTCTCATTCGTTGGGTAATCAGAGCCGGTTATACCAACAATCAATACGAAACTAACGATTTTAAATTGGCTCACCACTTTAGTAGCCTATTGGTCCCAAGCAAACGATTAACGTACCCTATTCTAGTTGAAATTCTATTACTACACTATGTTTGTTTTGATTCGCTATGAAAGTTTGACAGATAACATCAGGGGAGTGTGGATTCATGCAGAACATGCAGGGGTGAGTGAAATAGCTTGGAACTGCTTGGGACCGTTGTTCTGGTACTGAGTGAGCCAAAAATAATAATGATTTTCTTCGGGACCCAGTGGTCTTAGAGTACGTCACGTTCATGTCAAATTGAAACCTATTTTTAGGCACAATCTAGCACAAACGAAGTGACAGACGACTAACTGGCGAAGAAATCCATTAAAATAATGTGGTTCACTGTAATAGAATTTTCTTGGAAGCTTGTGTCATCATCCACCAGATGGGTTAGTTTTTTTGTTTTGATTTGAACAAAGTTGATTTGGTGTACAATGATTCTTTGACAGTGTGCAAAGAGTGTATCATTTTGTCATTTTTTTTATGCATTTCAGTTTTTAATAGAGTGAAAGAGATAGAACCAAAACATTCTAATACATTTGGTGAAAATGCTAGTACAATCCAGTAGTAGTGTTGTCATGTGGTACGATCTAGTAGTAGTGGTGTTGCCATGTGGTACACTGAAAAATTGAAATAGCAGGTTAGTCACCAAAATTTTCGAGCCGCTGCGTCTGTCACTTCGTTTGTGGGATCTAGCCTGACCATCTGCTGTATAACGTGATGAACTAGCCTACGGCTAAAAATCACGGTAATAAAGAAAAAAGAAAAAAAATCAATGGATGTAATTTTGTTCGCAAAATCGATGTACATCGTACAACGTTATATTACAAAACCGATGGATTGACTTGGATGTAATATTCAAGAACTTTTTTTTCTGTGTGATAGAGGAATCAGTTATCTACCTGTTTGTGCTGTTAATTTTTTGGATTAAGCATTAATTTGCGAGAAATCAGCGATTGTTGTGTTTGTTTTCAAATGCAATTACGCCCTAATCTCAAAGTTCTCCGGAATTGATCTTCGTTGAATAATGAATTGCACCAAGAAATGTGCAAAATATTACTTGCAATCAATTAATATCTTGCTCGTAAATCTAATCTAAAATCAGACATTTGAAATGCTAGCTCCTAGCAAGGGTTGCAAGATAATTTAGGAACAAATCCCTGCTGACGAATTGTATTTTGTTTTCTCCGCCCATCTCTCCCTCTGAGTATTTCTAGTTTCCACCGGTTGGTGAAAGCATAGAGGTAACTCTAAGACTAGAAGGTCCCGAAGAAACGTGCTCAACTTTTTGGCTCAGCTCTAGTACTCTCTTCGGTCCCAAGCTAATCGATTCACCCTTCGAAACATAGGAAAATCCACTAACCCCTAATTTTATCTGTCAAACTTTCATAGCGAATCAAAACAAACATTGTGTAGTACTAGAATTTCGACTAGAATGGGGTACTTTAATCGTTTGCTTGGGACCAATAGGCTAGTCAAGTAGTGAGCCAATTTAAAATCGGTAGTTTCGTATTGATTGTTGGTGAAAGTCTTTTCGCCGTCGGCATATCAAAAGCAGTTTTTTTTAGTGTGCACAAAAAGGTTTTTTCCTCTCTTTTTTATGGCACAGACCTGTTGGTCCATATTAAAAAGGCTTTTTCGTTAATCGGATACGTCAAACCGCGAGGGTCGTCTCTATTAAAAGTGACATTTCCAAACAATCACGAATGATTTTTGCTTTCATCGGACGGTGACTGTTTATGTTTCTTGCATTCGAGTTTTCGCGTTAAACTATTGAAAAAAATCTGTTATTTGCTAGCATTGTGATCCAATTGATTGATTCGTTGTAATGGTAAGTACACTGACTTGACAAATTAAGCTAAGTTTCCCGTGAATTGTCAATTTATTACAAAATTATTTCGGCTTGTTAGTTGAGGTTAGGGTTTACTCTGTTTGTGCTACATCACTTCTTTCATCCGTGCTAGGCTCGTCGGTATGATTCCAGAACTACGATTTTCTCGCCGGAAGGCCGATTATACCAGGTGGAATATGCTATGGAAGCAATTTCACATGCCGGTACTTCATTGGGGATATTAGCTAAGGATGGCATTTTACTAGCAGCAGAAAGAAGGAATACCAACAAACTGCTGGATAGTGTAATTTTCTCGGAGAAAATTTACAAACTGAATGAGTACGTAAAAAATAAGTTTTCGAATAAACTGCAAACATGTATAGTTACAAATTTATTTGATTTCAGGGATATGGTCTGTTCCGTTGCCGGAATAACCTCCGATGCCAATGTGCTGACGAATTTACTTCGAGTGATTGCTCAGCGTTATCAGCTGAACTACGGAGAGGCTATGCCCTGTGAGCAGCTGGTTTCGCACCTTTGCGATGTTAAACAAGCGTACACTCAATACGGAGGAAAGCGGCCATTCGGTGTTTCCATTCTGTATATGGGATGGGATAAACATTACGGTTATCAACTGTACCAGTCTGATCCCAGCGGAAACTATGGTGGGTGGAAAGCCACTTGTATTGGAAACAATTCTGCGGTTAGTAACCTTGATAATATGTACATAATTTTGATGTGTGCCTTATTGGAATATATTTTTTTGATAACTATTTTAGGCAGCCGTATCTGCGCTGAAGCAAGAACTGGGAGATAACGAAATAACACTGGTTCAGGCACAAGATCTTGCAGTAAAAGTTCTATCAAAAACTTTGGACATGACTAAGCTGACATCGGAAAAAAGTAAGTTTATTCCTCGGTTACATTTATTAAGGCTAGAAGTACATTAACATTTGCATATTTTAGTCGAAATGGCAGTCCTGACTAGGGAGAACAACAACACCGTTATCAAGATTCTCTCAAGCACTGAGGTCGATGCTCTCATTGCTAAGTATGAAAAGGCGGAAGCTGAAGCGGAAGCGGCCAAGAAAGAGAAGCTGGCACAGAAAGCGGATAAGTAATCTACACGCTGAAGTAAGTTACATTTAAGGTTTTTGTCGGTTTAACTTTCTTTTGGAACACGTGAATTAGAGATGCAATCTTGTAATGCTTGGATTGAAATGTGGTTTTGTTTCCTTTGAAAAATAATGAGAAATCCTTTGCTTAGTTTATCAATACTATCGGTCGACGCTTAATTGTCCCATGTGCTATTGTGTTTCATATACACATGGGAAAATTATGTGTTCATCGGCAGTATATCGAAGGGCAAATTGGATTATGAATTGAAACGAGCATTTTTTTTTTTTTTTTTAAGCGACAGACTCAATGGTAGCCCTAAGGGGCTGTCCATAAACTACGTAGACAGTTTAGGGGGGGGGGGGGTTGGCAATTATCCACGGCCCATACAAATTTTAATAATTTTGTATGGACAATTGTCTACGCAGGGGGAGGGGGGGGGGGTCAAGAATCCCAAAAAATTGTCTACGTAGTTTATGAACAGGCCCTAATGGGGAAAGCCAGAAAAAAGAAGCGAAATGTCTCTATCGCATCAGTCGTGGCAGGTTGAAATCAATTATCGAAGATGATGACTAACTCTAATAACTTCGATATTGCGTACAACGATGTGGTGATTACACGATAGTTATCCACTACTTTCCTTTTTGCATACAGAAAACATATGTACAAATTTCCAACTTAATGAACATATACCACTCGAGATTGACATTCGAAACACATGATGCAACCGTATCACTAAGCTGGCTTTTTTTTTTTTTTTTTTTTTTTTTTTTTTCGTCGATCTTGTTTTCCGTGCTGAGCACCAATGCTACCGACGTGCCAGGAAGGCAGCTCCCACACCTGGACCCTACCTATCGACCCATCAACTCATGAACCGGGGACCAACGGGCTTTACTTCCCATCCGAAGGAAGGCGTGATCAGAGATGTTATGCCTCAGAACATCCCGGCGGCGCCGACTGGGATTGAACCCAGGCCTGCTGGGGTGAGAGGTAATCACGCTTACCACTACACCACCGGCGCCGTTATCACTAAGCTGGCGACGACTTGAGTTTTAGTGTTTCAAACTCTCGTATAAAAATGTTAATAGAAAATGGAACGTGTTAGTGGCAGGTTTGGTATTTTCACATTATTAAAGTTGTTAAGTATCATATAGAGTATTGCAGAATCTTTACTATTGTTTCGTTAGTTTATCACAATTCAGCTCTATATCTTTCAGTTTATTTATGAATAGTTGTAGCTCTTCCGGAGTGCAGGTAAATCGTACCACTGGTTGCTTTTCGTTTGTTTCGTAATTTAATGACTCCAGTTCAATACTGAAACTGAGATTTCCTGCCAAAATCGAGTAACTCGATGATGATAAATCCGAGCGAAGTGTCCAATTGGCATCGGTAACATGAGGCAGTGCTATACCGTACTCGGCATTCTTTGGAGTGCATGTATCTCGGAATATTGAATATTTTGATATGATCCTACCGACAATATCGGAACTTGGGATGTATGTTTCGAGCAATTGACGAAGCTGTTGGTCATCATAATCGTGCTTACAGGCCAGTACAAGCACGGTAGTCAATGCATATTGTTCACCACCAGCAATGGGTTCTGTAGATAAAAACACACATACACTACCTATTTCCCAAGTTTATCTTAGTAATATAAAATTTACCTTTTCCGGGGTTGCTTATGGTGTTGAACGCTTTATTTATTATTTTCGAACTGCTATTTGAGTCTGTCAGCATCTTTAACCCATTTTGAACGGCATCTGAAAGCTCCATTGTTCGAATTCTCGATAATAAAGATAGTGGATTTTATTCAAGTAATTTTAAAACCGCAAAATAGGTGCACAATAACAAAAGGCACATTAACTAAGGCCTTTTGAGAGTAAGTGAAAATAGAAACGTTTCGGTTTTTTCTCACTGTACAACAGTTTGCTCACGGCACAGAACTCACGCTACTTCTACTACTACAGTATGGTACAAAGCATTTGCAACTTATGGAAACCCTTCACAAAATAGGTGGGGCTTTATTTTTTCAAAATCCTCCCGAAACATGTTTTCCCATGTGGAAGATGATTATTGGGACTAATTAAGTAACATATAGGGGAAACGCTCCTATAGTTGCGGTACGTTAGAAGCGTTAGGTTCCTATAGTTGTGTACGGAGTCTCCATCTCCATACACAACTATAGGAACCTAACGCTTCTAACGTACTGCAACAATAGGAGCGTTTACCCTAATAAATGAGCTTTTGCATTAACATCTAAAGGTGACGCAAGGGGTTTTAGTCCAAAATATCAAACGATGACCTTTTTCAAAAAAACATTCCGCATAAACAATAACCGCAGACAGACATTCAAGCAAGTACAAATTTTATCAATAATTTTGTGTAAATTTTGAAACCAGAATACGTTAGAAATCACTTGCTCACTAGCGCCACGTAGGTTAAAAATTGCCACAGTAAAATTGACAGACTATCATCTCATGACAAATGGATTTTGCGTGACACAATAAATGTTTGGCACCTTTATAATGAACAAGTGTACAACAATGTTTTATTGTAAGTTTTCATACTAGACAACTCGAAAAATAAAAGTTTTGACAACTTTTCAAAACATAACAATATTTTTGGCAAACCTTCTATCAATTAATTAAGCACGTTGTGGCAAATTAATTCGAACTGTTTTACGATTTCGCTTTGTTTCACGCTTATTGTTCGCTGCTACTTTATTTTTGAATCGAACATTTCTCAGGAAGCCTTGAATGAGAGTGTTGTAAATGAAGTCAATCAATCTAGCAAAGCAAGCCTTGCAAACTACGTTGTCAAAGTGCTCGCAAGCAACATATTTATGCTTTTAAACAAGTTTTCCCACCTTTTCTGTTCTCAAACAAAAATTTCCGAAAATTTTGCTTGAATGCAGCAAATGCTATCAGCCCGATAGCGCGAAGTGTATTATTTGGGATATCAACGTTTCGTGATGAGGCCCGGGATTTTAATCTAGAAAATGAATAGTCAACGCTTTCAGCTTAGCACGGCATTTTTCGTGAGGCAGTTTGGAAATCCCAATTCCAAGAACATAAACCCGTTGAGCTCCTTTCTCTGTGCAACAACAGGAGTGTCGAGGTCACGTTCTTCAACTTCGAATGAAAGTGTGGCTACAGCTTCTTAGTAAAGTTCTTCAAGATCGTCTCCATGCAAAAGAGGCTGCAGCCCGGCGTTTTGGCAGTTTTTTCCCTCATCAAATGTTTCGTTTCAACGGCGCCGGTGGTGTAGTGGTAAGCATGATTACCTCTCACCCCAGCAGGCCTGGGTTCAATCCCAGTCGGCGCCGCCGGGATGTTCTGAGGCATAACATCTCTGATCACGCCTTCCTTCGGATGGGAAGTAAAGCCGTTGGTCCCCGGTTCATGAGTTGATGGGTCGATAGGTAGGGTCCAGGTGTGGGAGCTGCCTTCCTGGCACGTCGGTAGCATTGGTGCTCAGCACGGAAAACAAGATCGACGGAAAAAACAAACCAAAGGAAAAAAAAAAAAAAAAAAAAAAAATGTTTCGTTTGCAGAAGACAACATAGCGTATTTGAAGGCACTACTGAACTGATATCCATTTGAGGCATCGTTAAACCCGCAACGTCGCCGAATCTCCGAGAAGAAATTTTTCAGGCAATCCGGACAGAGCGGATTCGTATACAAGTACTTACAGTCGTATGTATTCTGTTCTCATTTTTTGAAATAACAAATCAAAACAAAAACAAACTTATGACAGGTCAATGAGAGTAGCGTCTAGTGCCCGGTCTAGTGCCATCTGGTTGATTATTGCTACTTGAATATTTCATTTAAATCAACGGTTATGGAATTTTACACAATCTGAGATTTAAGCTTGAATGACTCTGCAATAACCATAAGAAGCGCCAAACCACCAATTCTGGGTATCATCCTGACTCGTACCATCAATGATATTGTTAGTGTATGGCACCCGTTTATTAGGGATATGCATCTATAAGTGGCGGTCGGGCAAAATGTGAAGAAGAAACATTCAACTAGTTTTGGTATTTGTCGTATTTGTCAAACCGTATTTTCCATACAAAAAAAAACTTTTTTTTTGTATGGAAAACACGGTTCGAACGAAAACGAGAATATGGGTGCATGACTTAGTTCCCGTAAACGTGATCGAGTAAATCACATTTTCATTAAATAAATCCCAACTCCATGAACTTAGTTCAAGCCTGTTCAACGCGAAGTCCATGAACCATTAGACTGGCCCACAAAAATAAAAAAAAATCTAATTTTCCACGGGCCAACCTCTAGATTTGTGCCTTTAGATGAGAAAACCATTCTCTGAAAGTTTTAGCTCATTTGGTTGTAAGATGAGCTGGCGCTTTTAGTTTGAATTTTGTATGGGGAATCCGGATTAAATACGAGAAAAAATAAACACTCCTACATTCTATCGATCATAAAAAAAGTTTCCTTAATCTCGATTTGATTCAGATTTTTAAAACTTGTAGTTCAAGCAGTAGTTTTTGAGGATATCTTGTAGTGGGATGTGTAGAAGTGAAGATGGGAATTTTTCGTGATGTGGATTGGGATGCGTTTTGAGGTTTTTTTTTTTTTCCTTTGGTTCGTTTTTTCCGTCGATCTTGTTTTCCGTGCTGAGCACCAATGCTACCGACGTGCCAGGAAGGCAGCTCCCACACCTGGACCCTACCTATCGACCCATCAACTCATGAACCGGGGACCAACGCCTTTACTTCCCATCCGAAGGAAGGCGTGATAAGAGATGTTATGCCTCAGAACATCCCGGCGGCGCCGACTGGGATTGTACCCAGGCCTGCTGGGGTGAGAGATAATCACGCTTACCACTACACCACCGGCGTCGTTGTTTTGAGGTTGTATTGCATCAGAACTGTGGATGTGTCGCTCCCCCTCTTTGCAACCTATGTTCAGATAGTGTATAGCATTCACGCAATAATAATACTTTAATAAATGGTTTATAAATCGTGATTTCACTTGGTAAGGGCACAGACAAACAGACATAACACATTGAATATTCATCACTGTTAAACATCGTCGCTAAAACATTATCGCCATCTGTTGAGTACACTGTGGTTGGTAGTACGCTGAACAGATGGCAGTAGTGTGTAAACGTCAAACACAAGGGAATTGACTATGCGCGCCACGGGTGGCGGTACTACCAACTACGATACTTTTAAATTGATCGCTAAATGCTTGTTCGATGAACAACTTGCGAGTGTTATGTCTGTTTGTCTGTGGTAAGGGTCTAACCACAGACAAACAGGCGTAACACTGTAAAACATCGTCGCTAAAACATTACCGCCATCTGTTGAGTACACTGTGGTGAGTAGTACGCTGAACAGATGGCGGTAGTGTGTAAACGTCAAACGCAAGGGAATTGACTATGTGCGCCGCAAGTGCCGGTACTACCAACTACGATACTTTTAAATTGACCGTTAAATGCTTATTCGATGAACAACATGTGAGTGTTATGTATGTTTGTCTGTGGTCTAACTGGCTATACTCTAAAAAATCTTCAGGTCCGATTTACGTGAAAACATAGGTGGTTTTCGTCCACCCTATTTTTCACGTAACTTTTACCGGAATTGCACATAGCCGATCAAAACTCAACTTCGATTATCTACGTAATTATTCAGGTAAATAAGACCTGATTTCCACGTACTGCTTACGTGAAATCGGGGTGAATACTGCTGGAAAACTGGTAATTTTTACGTCCTGATGAATGTGGGCGTCTTAGTGGAATACCTGTATAACGAGAGAGTGAAGGATTAGTATTTTCCATTTAATTCCACTACTTTATTTGCTTATCCTTGACAGATACGCGTATTTCGTCTACAATGTGCAGACTTCTTCAGTGTCTTGTATTAATACTCGACTGAAGAAAAACATCGCATTTACCGAATATATATTAACACAGGTACATTTTCACTTAGAAACTAGGTAAAATTTAATTTAATTTTCTATAGGAACAGGTACTCCGCTGCTTACTCGTTGATGTGTCCTAGGTAGTAACTTGAAAAGCCATGTGTGTCCGTTTCCTTGATCCCTGTTGAGTAAAGTTGAATTACGTTGTTTGTTGATCTCGAGGCTTTCTGCAACATCCAATTTCCATGGTGTAGATACGGTTCGTAAAATCGTGATGTCCTCCGTCGATAGTTGGTGGTCCTCTGTGAAGATGTGTTCTGCAACCTTTGATTTGAAATCATATGTTAGGCCTTTTTCCTCTTGCTTTTTGGCCTTATTAACCTCCGCTATATGTTCTTTAAATCTAGTTGCTAAAGTTCTCTTGGTTTGTCCTACATATACTTTGTTACAATGATTACAGCTTATTTTATATACACCTGCTTTACCTAAAACATTAACTGGGTCTTTAGTGGATCCTAACAATGATTTCAACTGGTTATGTCTACTGGTGAAAACTAAATCTAATCCGAATTGTTTTAACTGTGGTCTTAGTTTACAAGTAATATCTTGATCAAATGGAACGGACACTCGTTTCAATGGTTCAGGTGCTGTGGTGAGGGTTGTAAATAATCTCCTTTGTAGAATTCTCGCTTTTTTATCGATGATTGCCTGGATTGTGGTCTCCTTGTATCCGTTGAGTCTTGCTGTTTCGAAGATGTACTGTAATTCCTTAACCTTTCCTGTATCGCTGAGTGGAAGAGTCTGCATTCGGTGAATCATGTGGTGAAAGGCGGCCATTTTCTGCTGAAACGAATGGTTGGAAGTATAGGGGATAACTCTTTTGGTGCTTGTTGGTTTCCTGTAAATTTCGTATTCAAGCGAGGAAGATGATGACGATTCTCTGATGACTAGAAGATCGAGAAATGCGAGTTTCCCGTCTTTTTCTACCTCGTGAGTGAATTTGATATCCTTATGAATTCTGTTGATCTCATCTAAAATTTGTGGAAGGGCTTCCCGTTTAACTACGCTGAAGATATCGTCAACAAACCTCCACCAACGGTTTGGTAATAGTCCTTTCTCCTTCAGGATTGTCTCCAAGTTGGCCATGAAAAGTTCACACAAGAAGGGGGATAGGGGGTTTCCCATTGGGGCTCCTTTCGTCTGCTTGTAGAAGTTACCTCGGAAAGAGAAGTAGTTCTCTTCCATACAAAGGCGGGTCAGCTTAAGGTACGTCCGAACCTTGTTTCTCCATGCTGCATCCTCTCGAGTATTAATACAAGACACTGAAGAAGTCTGCACATTGTAGACGAAATACGCGTATCCGTCAAGGATAAGCAAATAAAGTAGTGGAATTAAATGGAAAATACTAATCCTTCACTCTCTCATTAAACTTTTACGTGATATTCCGCTTCGTTTGAAATGTTTTACCCTTCTTACAAAGAAGGGTATAGATATCACTTGAAAAACCGACTATCGATCCGAGGCCCGGAGGGCCGAGTGTCATATACCATTCGACTCAGCTCGACGAGATCGGAACATGTCTGTGTGTGTGTGTACGTGTGTATGTGTGTATGTGTGTGTGTATGTAACGAAATGAATGCGCTCACGTTTCTCAGCAACCGCTCAACCGATTTGGACAAACTCGGCGCCAAATGATAGGTCTTGGGGTCCCATTGAACGCTATTGAATGGTTTTGAAATCGGTGAACCGGTTCCGGAGATATGGCCGGAATAAGATCCGGTGAATATGGGCCTTCACGCTGGATTTAACGGAAAACGTATCAAAACCATCATGCGACACATCAAATTACTACAGAATTCAAAAATAAGATCAATGCAAGTCGTGTTAAGTGTTCCAGACCACATTGGACACACTTGGACATGTTACGGGTACCCCGGGGAAGTTGCTTGAATATGAATTGAATTAAAACCCATTAAATCCCATTAAAATACGATGATAAGGTGATTGGTAGCCTCACCAAATAGACTACACCCGGATATATTCCGGGTACCCCCAGGCAGTGGCGTAGCGTCACTGGATGACACGGGCTTGGTCACTGATAATGACAATAAAATAAATAAACTTGAATAAGTAAGAAGGGTCTGATCACACCATACGTGGATAAATTCGGGTTTTCACGTAATTTTTACGTGAATTTTGAATGAGAATAATGGAACTTATATGTAGATGCAGTCAATATTATGCAATTTCTTCGGGCAGATATAAATTCCACGTGTTTAGATTGATACTTATATTAACTCATAACATTGCAAATTATTGACTACTTAGTAGGTAGAAATGTTTTTGAGATTTTTTATTTCCGTCAAAATATTAATAACTGTTTGCAGACTCAAAATGCTGATGCCACCGTCTGAAATTATAAAACTAGAAAAAGTCTACATAATTTATCATAAATAAATTAATGTAAATGAATCACATTACCTTACCGTCCAATATTTGTTGCAAGCTGCTGGGAAATTTTGAATTTTTGAGGTGTTCTTCTACCACGCTTGGTGACGCCATATTGATTTTTTTTTTGCGTACCTGAAAATCACGCAAACACAAACACACAAACACAAATACACTAAATCTGTTTACGTGAATAACCGGTCGATTTCAACAACATTTTTAGTGGACATGACGTGTAATGCAGGTCAAAGTTACTAACGTAGCGTAACATTTGAGATTTTTTAAAATACAGATCAGTTACGTGATATTTCACGTAAATCGGACGTGAGGATTTTTTAGAATGTACACACAAAAAATAATCATTGATAAAATTAAAAAAACCGTTGATAGAATTAAAAGTTTGCATTGGTTATTTTTGGTAGAAAGTATCTAACTTTCAAAATGCAAGTCAGCCAACTGTCAAAACAAAAGTTTAGCATATTATTAATTTTAAAAGTTTAAACTTTTAAATCGAATTGTAGAACTGTCAAACTAAAAACCAAATACTTTTAGATTGACGTTGGAAAAGTTTTGCTTCAAAAGAAGGCTATTTCACCGTAATTAGTATAAGTTTTCATATCAAATACGAATTATTTTTAATTTAATTGCTTTTATGAAAGGAAACGTAACCAATATTTATATTTATTTAAATATTTTGTTAATATACACATATTTTATTTTTCATTCACATCACGATGGTAATATCAGGGATGTTTTCTTTGGCGGACGGCTTTGGTGAAGGTTTTCTCCCAGACGCGAGGCTCCAACATGCAGTGGACCTGGTCCAACGAAATTGCATCTTGTTTACACTGCTGGCCGACGATAAGCAGCGAAACCTGGTGTGACTAAATCTTACCAGTATCCTATAGAAACGAACGGAATCTGTAATCCCTCCAGCGATACATTGAAAACTCTATTGATAGCCAAAGAAAATCTCTGCAGTGTGCTCTAACGTCCCAATATGCTGGCGATCTGGAAAATAATCATTTAGTTTTTGAAAACCACTCTCGAAATATCTGTTGCAATCTTACCTTCTGCGAAAACTTTACTCTTTCTAATTGCCTCTGGTACCGGAATCGGTTCCTGGAACTGCAAGATGCACGACTAATTTTCTGCGGTTTGATTCTCATACTATATGCCCTATTGGATTTTTGGACCATGACAATGAGATTTTCAAGAGGTGATCTTGACAGTTGTATACTTTTTGTTTTAAAAGTATGAACTTTTAAAATACCATGTCGATAGTGAAAGAAAAACTTTCAAACCAAAGAAGAACAATTCATTTTGAAAATATTCGTAGTTAAAACTACCAAATTCGAGAAACTTTTAATTTGAAATGTTAAAATTTTTAAAGATACAATTTTTGTTTTTTGTGTGTACATACACCGCTAAAACAAAATCCAGCCGAGAATCACCAGTCTTGTTTTCATTGATAGCCATAGATTAGCGAAGAAATTTATTTTAAATCTACTTATCTCTTGTTCTCGAGTCTTACTTCATTTTTGCATCTTTTGTTTGACCATCTTTAAGTTTTTTGTTTACTATTTTTTTTAATAATTAACTTTATATCTTTATGAAATACTAGCTGACCCGGTAAACGACGTACTGTCTAGTTGTTTGATATATAAACCCGTCGGAGCCCAAGACGAACAAAATAAAAAATAATCCTGCAAATCCGCCAATCCGTTCTCGAGTTATAGCATGACATGCAAACACCATTTCATTTTTTTTATAGAGATAAGCACCGACGAATTTATTTTAAATCTATTTATTTCTTGTTCTCGAGTCTCGCTTAATTTTTGTATCTTTTGTTTGCCCATCTTTAGCTTTTTTACTATTTTTTTAAAATAATTAACTTCATGTCTTTATGAAATATAAGGTGATATAAGGTTAATATAGGGATTCCGAATTTTTATATCATTTATATATTATGACTTGGGATGTGCTATGAGGACACAATAATTTCGGAAACACAACTTATAGATGGAATATTGCATATTTCCTGATTATAAATACACAGCAAAAAAATAATTTTGATATCACGTCAAAGTGGATGCACTACAATCATGTCGAAAATATGGTGTAATATTACTTGCTAAAAAGGACAAAATTATCATTAATACAATGCATGAACTGACATTACGCTGCTTTTACTGCATTTGTTTATTTATGTGGTCATAAAAATTACATGAAGTTTTCGACATGATTGTAGTGCATCCACTTTGATGTGATATCAAAATAATTTTTTTGCTGTGTAGCATTTCAATTTTCATACAAAATTGTCCAATACCGGTTTTTTACGGTTGAATTGTCCATACCGAAAAACCGGTACAATCGGTGGTGGATAAGACCTGTTAAGACGCCTGACTGACAGAAATTCCAATACTGTGGACCACCGTTAATCTGAACGACACACATCTAAAAAACGAGTTTTTTTTCTTATGGTGGCCTTATTTAATGTTTTGTTTTGATTCTGCGTTCCGTTTCGCAACGTTCCATTTCGCTTTTCTCTGTTCCAGTTCGGTAAAATCTCCAACAGCCGAACTTGCCAGGTATCCAGAGCTCCTGTGAAATTTCCTTTGAACATTTAACACCTGTAAACATTTTTTTTTCACAATTTCCTTGATATTCTCCATGGAAGTATTTAGAAATCATTCCAGTTTTTCGCAGCAGAATAGCCTTGGAATTACGCCGTTTGAATTTATGTCAATGAAATTAATGTAGTAAAAAAGTTTCTTGACAGAAACTTTTGGAATGCACTCCTTTACTATGTCGCCTTTGGTGGGGACCAACCCCTAACTATATCCCTGATGACGAAGTGGTTCATTGTCGGTGGCCGTAATCTTGGAATTTCCTTGCTCAGTATAACACATTATTTCGAAGTTATAGTCGTATTTTTCTCTTATTTTATTAAAAAGTTTATAAAAAATATACATTTTGTTAAACATATTTAGAGGAAGAAAGAAAAATTCAAAAGCAGTTTTTTCGTTCAAAACCGAAATTCTGTAAATGAAAATGTGTTCACTGTGTTCCGCTTGGCAAGTAGAAAACAGTGACCACATTTTCAGCAACAGAATTTCAGTTTAAAACGTGAAAAACTGCTATTAATTTTATGCAAAATGTTCTGCGTCCCCTTTCACCTCAACATGTTGATAAACAGCCCAGATTTTACATACGAATGAGTTAACATTATTAAGGCACTTTTTTCCGTATGGAATGTCGTCGCTGATGATCTGTCGCATCATAACACTGCAATGCAACAACATATATGTTGCATGTTCTGACGACGTATGCAACACAATGGGATTTCCCTGTTTTCAGGGAAAAATCGTCTGAAATCTCAATCGACTTGATTCTGTCTTCGTTTTTTCCACAATAACTTCATGTGGTAAACCGTTTCCTTGTGTTTGTGTTCCCACAACAGTTTAACCATCTTTCCAAAAGACGGCTCATCATCATTGCGGGACCAATCCAAAATAAATTGGTAGATTCTCTAAAATAAGATCCAGCTCAAATTAATTGCTTTGATGTACACATAAAGAGTAACCTACCTCAGATAGAGTATCGTTATCACATTCAAATGCTTCAATTTGTCCTTCAGAGTATTCCAAAGTCCTCGCGAAGTGCTTCCATTCGTAACCCAAATGTCGAGATACGGTGATCATCATGTCAGTATCCAACTCGTCTTCACAATCCATCATTTGTTTTATTGTATCGGAAAGCTTTAGATTTGCCCATTTCACTGGGCCATTCATATTGCTGGGTGGCCTTGCACGATCTTCTTCGGTGTTGGGTGAGTTGAAGGTAAAGCTATTACCTATGTGCACGTTCCTGGCGTTTTTTATTTGATAAACCTGGACACCTGTTGCATTGGTTATCGATGTCTGAGGTGCTGTTAGAGCATTGTTTTGTACATTGTTTACTATGTTCTGCGTCAACGGCCCTGCCGTTGGGTTCACTGGCTGTAGTTGCAGATCTGGTGGTGTTTCCGGGACAATTGCATTCGTCTGATGACCGGATGATGATGCACTGAGGGTTAGATTGACCTCTGGCGATTCCGTGGTTGCTGCAACATTGTGCACACTACTTGCATTTTCATTCTTATCATCTTTATTGTCATTAGATCTGTCTGGTATGACTGCCGCATCGGTTTCAAGTTTAGAATTCGACTTAGTAAATATGTTCGTAAAAATGTTCTTGAACTTGGCCATTGTTGCGGTAATTTTAACAAAAGCAAAGAAACACTGCCCGACTTTGTTTCAGAAAGATATTCATTCATCGCGTAAAAAGTAAATCACTCAACAACTCACTGATTGTGTGGGGTTGTCATGCGAATAGGCCTAATGTAGGGTTGTAATTCAATAATGCGATGAGTGTATTGAACTATTTGGTTTTGTAAAGTATTGGAACTATAATAATATTTTTAGGTCATTTTTAGATCATATTATGACTTTTCTATCTACATAAATGTTTTATTAAAAACCGAACGTGAAACTAACCAGTAAATTATTAAATGTAGACGCAGCTGTTATTTGCATCGAGTACTTTTTTTTTTCATTTTTGATACGATTGTAGGATACTCGAAAAATTGTACAAAATGAAGCATAAGTTTTAAATATTCGTAACAGCTGCCATTGTTTTCAGAAAATTATGATCTTAGTTAAATTAAAAGTTGAGAAAACAGCAGAACGGGTTGTCTCATTACATAAGAAGCAATGGTGCGAAGCAAACTTTAAATGCGTTTTTCTCAGCTTGCTGATTTGTGCTACGGGACCGACATTCGAAGAGCGGCAGTATATTGCTTAAATGTTAAATTATAATTTAGCAGTATTTTCGTCGTTCAAAAGCCTTTCGGTGATTCCTTGTAGAGTCCACAAATGGTTACCACGTAGGCTATACATGCACTTCCACTTCGAATTTTCAATTACACACATCTCTGAAATTAATGCCCCATTTCACCTGAAACTGCTACTTCATATATGCTGCAGTACAACAACCGAGGAGTATCAGTTTAATTTTTGTACGTATCGTAGAAGCTTATATTTGTGCACTTAAAGTTTCGAAGTGGTTACGAGAATAAGGATCTCACAGCGAAACACCTTGAATGACACTTCCATGATGATATGATATAATTTACTTAGCTGTTCCATTTTTTTACAGCTGGTTAAATAATAAAAATCTTGACAAAAATGCTCCAAAATTGTCGCGAATAATATACGGGAAATGCCTGGGGATGAACGATCGGTTCTTTTTCATTCCTTTATTTAACGTCGGTCTCTGTTCCGCAATCTAGTGCCAATCACCGACAATCGAATGTGCAGGAAGGCAGCTTCCACACATGGGCCGGGACCAACGGCTGTACTTCCCTTCCGAAGGAAGACGTGACCAGATATTTTTATGCCTCAGAAAAATCCTATCGACATCGGCTGGTTATAAACCCAGGCCCATTGAGGTGAGAAAGTAGTCACGTTTACCACTACATCACCGGCGCTGGCAACGATAGGTTCTACGGTTAAAATCCTGAAAAAAATATGGAAAATGCCGGCTTACCTATTAACGTCAGTGGGGTAAACAAAGCGCTCAAATGTGGCCAATCGATCGATCCTCTGAAACATGATACATTGTATCCTCTTCCTCCTGCACAAACAAGAGAGTTCAAAGATTTCATTTTCCCCTTGAAGATAAAAGGTGCTGCAAAAGCACTTAGGCAGTCATCAACGGCCTGAAAAGAAAATAGATGTTTTATTGTAAAGTCATCAAAAGGGTACATCGGATTGCTGAGTTACTCACAGAAGATTGTTTGAAAACATATCGGATGACAGTTCTCGCACAGCCGACAACAACATAGCAGAATAACACGAACTTGGCGATTTTCAAATATACTTTCATCATTCCTAAAATGTAAAAATGATCAGAATTTATCAAAATGATAGTTAGAATCAAATACGTTACCGTGTACCTTTTCTTGGTTTTCGTGTTTTCGCTTGTTCTGTTTTGTTATGGATTTTTCCCTCTGTCCTTTTCACCATCTACCAAATCCAGTATTACCGATCTACCGGGATCGTTGGACAATGTCAAGTAAGCTTGTACCTTGTAATAATTGTTAATTGGACGACAATGTTGAACTAAATCATGTTTTAAGGCTCAACCCAGAAACATACAAGCCACGGAACTCCCGTGCCGTGCTCATGGTGATAGATGCGCTTCGAATGGATTTCATTGCCAATAAGGAAAGCATGCCATTTTTAAATAAACTGATTGAAGATGGATTTGCCTGCCAGTATCAGCTACAAGTTCATCCACCCACCGTGACAATGCCCCGAATCAAAGCAATGACCTCAGGTGCTATTCCAAGCTTCCTGGATGTAATATTGAATCTGGGAAGTCCACAGATGACTTTAGATACCTTTCTATACCAAATGGTACACCAACAGCGGCGTTTAGTGTTTTACGGAGATAACACTTGGACTAACATGTTTCCGGATATGTTTCTAAGGAAAGGAGAAAATGTGGATTCACTGTATGTGAACGATTTCTACGAGGTAATGTAAATTAGCTTCAATTGACATCAGATTGTTATCGTTGCATTTTTTTAAGGGCGACAGAAACATAACTTCAAAAATGCGGTCTGAATTCCGCAAGTACGACTGGAAGATGATGGTTTTGCATTTTCTTGGTTTGGATCATATCGGTCATGTAGAAGGGCCATTCAGTGATAAAGTACCGGGAAAACTGAAGGAGATGGACAGTATCGTTAAGGAAATCCATGGAGCTATGGAAATATGGGTATGTTTTCGTTCATAATCTATCGAAATTGTTCTTTACAACATCTTTCACTACAGAATGAAAAATTTCACTCCAAATCTTTACTGGTCATCACTGGAGACCATGGAATGCGTGACTCGGGAGGACATGGAGGATCGACACACCCGGAAACAAATGTACCACTCATAATACTGGGCAACAATTGCACACAAAGCACTAAAACATATCTACAAATTGACATGGCTCCCACTTTTGCTGTGCTCATGGGTGTAGCCATTCCATTTTCATCTATAGGATCGCTTATCGATCCAGTCCTCAATAATGTTCCTCATGTAGACCGATTGTACGCCCACTACTACAACACCAAAAGAATGATTGAAAAATCACAAGTATTCTACGGAAGTAGACTCAAAGAACAGGGTTAGTGTGACATATGCGGAAGTGATTGATAATATATCTAGTAAAATTATCTATGGCTTTCAGAATTTTTCGTTCAGTACAAAGAAGCCAAGCTTCTCCATACCATGTATTTGGAGCACCAGGATGACATGACAATACTACAAAAAGCTATAGAGAAATATACGATTGCCAGCCGAAACTTGTCGAGGCTTCTCATCAAAAACTACATACGCTATGACATGCTTAGCATTGCAATTGGTATTTTACTAAGCGTAACGGTATGTACATCTACTACTTACAATACACCTACTACATATTTATGAATAATTTTTTTTTACAGACCACCGTTTTAACTGCTCTACTGTCTTTGATACCTCATCAAACCGAACAAATCCATCTTTATCCTAAGTTCACCAAATGGATAGTTCTTGTTACTATTGGTCTAATTGGCAAATACTATCTCCAAACGTTCGGCGAAATAGAATCAAGTTTGCTCCAAAACAGCTTCATCTGCCATGCGTTATTGGTACTAACATGCACAATCTTCGTAATTAATTGGAGCCTTCTGGATGGATTTCTTCCTTTACTAGATAAAAACAATCATCTAACGAAACTTAGTTTACCTGGTGGACTGCTGCTGTTTGGCACCATTTTCCATATGCTATCATTATCAAGTAGCTCTTTTATCGAGGAAGAACATCAACTTTGGTACTATTTCAACAATTCGTTATTCCTTTTGATAACACTGATCGAACTAAGGATAATGAATCGAACGATAGGACAGATCGACAATGCCAAAACCAACGAGATGCTGTTGTCGCACTGCCGGCGCGAAAGGGGCGAGTTCTGCATCAGTGCAATGCTGTTTTTCGTTGGCCATATCATGCTTCGCCGTTGGAACCAAACGGGCGATAAATGGCAGCATATTGCAGACGTCGGAGATTGGCTTGGAAAGCAGGAGAATAACTTCTGGTTGAGTTTAATGTTGTTTTTCGGTAAGTACCCACAGACAAAGAGGTAAGACTTCTTCTTATTCTTCTGGCTACTGATGTGTCTCAACTGGAACTTTACGGCAGTTTTCAACTTAGTATTCTTTGAGCATTTCCACATTTAGGTAATGGATCAATTTGTCATGCAGTTTTGGCGTGATTGTTAACCAGCTATTTAAAAAGAAATTACTTTTTTTTTTTATAAAAACCACACATTTTGGCTGCTTTTCTCATGATTCTAGAAGAGAAATCTCAAAATATTGTGTCATTCAATAATAACGTAAGCACATTTTGGGGATTTTCGAACTTGATCATCCAACCTACCTCCCTTAATTTATCTAACAGTCTACGTAGGTGGATAGCCCCCTAGAGGTCATGCATTGATTGTGTCACGCTATATCGAGGAAAAAAGTGTCCCCACTCTCCTCTTTTGTCAGTTTTTTTCCTATAAGGGGCTGTTCATTAACTACGTGACGGCGCCGGTGGTGTAGTGGTAAGCGTGATTACCTCTCACCCCAGCAGGCCTGGGTTCAATCCCAGTCGGCGCCGCCGGGATGTTCTGAGGCATAACATCTCTGATCACGCCTTCCTTTGGATGGGAAGTAAAGCCGTTGGTCCCCGGTTCATGAGTTGATGGGTCGATAGGTAGGGTCCAGGTGTGGGAGCTGCCTTCCTGGCACGTCGGTAGCATTGGTGCTCAGCACGGAAAACAAGATCGACGGAAAAAACAAACCAAAGGAAAAAAAATTAACTACGTAGGCAGTTTTTTTGGGATTCTCCCCTTCTCCCTGCGTAGACAATTGTCCATACACAAATTTTAAAATTTGTATGGTGCGTGGATAATTGTCAACACCCCCCCTAAACTGTCTACGAAGTTTATGAACAGCCCCTAATTCGTATCTTACACATAAACAATATGATCATAACATCTAATGATTTCATAATTCCGAAAAAGATTTTTTTATCTGGAATGAGCACCTATTTCGTATTTCGTTTTTAGTATTATTATTATTATTTTTATTCATTAAAACAAATATACGTCAGATCCAGTCTACTGCATATAATCTCATATCAGTCCCATATGGAAAAAGTAGGCATTGAGAAAATGGCAGTTGAAGTTATGAAGTCCAACTCCCATGTAAATATTTGAAAAATCATTGTAAATTAATTTATATTTTATTCAAGAGGAAACCATTTACTATAAAGCTTGCATGTTTGGTTATATCAGCGAAAAATATGGCTATCCAAAAAGCAGAACCCTAACTTGACCTCCGGACGATCGAATTTTAGGATGGGACTGATATGCGATTACTTTGCTTGATGTTGTTTTCACATTTTGCATGATCAAAGTCCGCAGTTTTATCACGCAATATGAAAGTAGATGCCAATTGATAGTGGATAAAACCAAAGACATCATATCAAGAAGACTGGTAACTTTGCCAGAATCCAAGCGACAGATACAATAGCGCTGCGCTTGAGTGAAGGTGGAAGCAACGCATAGAAAAATGAGCAAATACACAAACCTTTCTTCTGAGGATGTAATCTTTGCTATCAAATTCGTTCGAAGCATTTACCTTTGAGCGGCAGATGACGCGATTGTACCTGTCTCATAGCGTCATTACAACACAGAAACCACCATCAAGATAGCGCTATAACATGTTATAACTCTGTAGTCTGAACGTACTATAACGATGTTATCTTAAAATTGACGAAAATCCATATGGAACTAATATGCGATTATAGGCATTCTACACGGTACAACATTGCGTGCTCTCAACTTAGTGTTCTAGATGCACTTCCACGGTTATTAATTGAGAGCTTTCGATGCCTGTACCATTTGTACATTAGTATCAGAGTTGCGGTCTATCACTATCTCGATCGTCAAACAGCTGATGGTAGTAACGCTTGGTACATTCCTATTAATGCGCTCGTCGAAGCTCTCTCCATGACCGTCCATCAAGTTGACGTAAGTCGTAGTAAAAAGCAACTGGTGAATGTCGTCTTCGGTGGTGATCCATCACCGATCTGGTCATTCCCGACAATCACGACACACATATCTGTGCTCGTTTTGAAGCAGTTGCTGTTTTGCTTGCTTATGTGAGTGTGTTGGTGAGTGAGCCCAAAAGCTTCCGTTTAATTTTGCCAGCTTTGTTTGTAACTCACACAATCGCGCGTGCCGAGACGAACTTGGAATGCGTAGGCATTGTTTTAATTTTCTTCTGTTGTTTTGCTTTTTCTCATCATAGTACTGCAGAAGTCTTCACTGTTTTCGTTGTGCTTTACATCATCAGCAGCGAGTGTTACGTTTTGCCTGTGAGCAGCGACCATTACTGGTGATTGTTGTTTGCCATGGTTCTACCTCTCACTGCGTGACAAAACGTTTCTTTGAGCGATAGTCGGTTGATGCGTTGACGAGTGTCGAGTGAATGTCATGATATTTTGCATCACTGATTATTATAATTGTGTGGCAAGTACAATCATACTCTCTTACCCGACAAAAATTCCTAGACCGCATCGGGAATCGAACCCAGCCACCTCCAGCATACCATCACGGAGGAATAAACGTGCTGACTGAGCTATCAGTGCTCAGGCTGTCAGTGACCTCGTTTACTTCCCAGACTTTCACGAATGATGTACGCGGATGGCTAAATGACTCATTGAACCTGACTGTTTGCTCACTGCTCACCTAAGAAGTTTGGAGCGTAGTTTTGGACAATTCTGTTGATTGGAATGGATAGAGAAGCAAGCAGAATATAAATGTAATTAAAAAAACACGTCATATGTGTGCGTGACGCTGAGAAAATGCTAATACAAGCACGGATGCTGCTTAGATTGACGAGAAAACGTAAATTACCTTATTTAAACAAAGTTGCCGAGGGCAGAGCTTACACATGCCTTTTTATAATGGGTCTGATTTGGGATTCTATTCTGAACTGTTGAGCGCCCATTACACATGTCAATATATTGACAATAAATTGACATACTGACAATATTATTGAAAAGGTGATATTGATGATGATGATTGATGACAAGTATTGACGAAAAGCTGATTTTCATTTCACTTTGTCAATACTCAGAATATATTGACAAAAAAAAACAGTCAATTCTATCAATATCATCAATATACGAATATTGACAACATCAATGGCAATACGTTTGAAGCCTTTTAACCTCAATGTATTAAAGTCAATATTACTTTTCTTAATTTCCCCACACAAGAAACATGGATCAGCGGGTCAAAAGAGAAACGTCGTTACTGAACCTATGCACTGAAAAAAGTTTTCATATAGTTTTCATTGGAAACGCACATGATATTTTTCCAATAACAAAATTAATGATTTTTATCTGAAATTCAAATAACGTTCATACGATCACATGAATTGTATATGACAAATCACATAAACTTCATTGGACACATAAGGTTCATGTGATTTTGTGATACGATTCCCAATTATGAGATCACATGAAAGTTAAGTGAAATTCTAATGGATATTTTCCATTGGAAATGTGATTTATTTTTCGAGTGTGGAAAATACTAACTACACACTGAATTCGGATAACCTGAGTCGGTAAAATTTTACCCGGTTTTTGAACTACTGAAAAAGTCGGTAACATTTCAAATTACCATCACTCGTAAGAAATCAATAAAATCGACACATTACCATTGAACGGTTTTAAATAGGTCCGTACAATTTCGTAATAAATTTCAAAATTGTTGAATTGGTTGGTACTAGAGTCGGTGTATAATGAGTCACGCCAAGAGTGAAGCCAAGTCTACCTATTGAACTGTCAAACCGGCTACCTATCGTGCAAAGTAAACAAACATTACGATGCTATGAAAGGTCCACGAAAGGTATTGCAATAAAATATAAAATATAATCAAAGAAATGATCATAAACACGCAGTGATCATTAAATTGTCATGGGATACGTTTGGTAGCGATCATTAATGAGAATTTCTACTACTTTTTGTTGAGATGATTGGACAAAATCACTGATATAATGATTTACAACAGCCGCTATTTTTTTTGCTCGCTGGAAGTCATTTGAAGTTGATGTAGCAGTCCTCTGTTGCCAAGTGAAAAGAAATGGAATCTTTCGAATACCGTGATGCGAGTTCAACTGTTTTTCTCTTGGCGTGACTCATTATATACCGACTCTAGTTGGTACTAGAAATACTCAGAGGAAGAGATGGGCGGAGAAAATGTATTGAGCCAAATGAACTGTCAAAATCTGAGCCAATCGAACATTCCTATTAGAATTTTTCCGAGGATTTCTTATTCTTTCTAGAATAAATTTGAAAGTATTGCAATCGAACAGAAATTAAATCCCCTTTATGTTTTGTGTGCTTCTCAAATTCAACTAGGTTTTGGAACCAAAAACAATACAAAATGATCTTCGTTGGTTAATGAATGGCACCAAGAAATGTGCAAAATATTGCGATGCAATCAATTATTATTTTGCATGTAAATCGAATCAAAAATAAAAGTCATTTGAAATGCTAGCTTCTAGCAAGGGTTGCAAGATAATTTAGGAACAAATCCTTGCTGCCGTATTGTATTTTGTTTTCTCCGCCTATCACACCCTCTGAGTATTTCTAGTTGGTACTATCCTTTCACTCCACTGAAAGTTCCAATAAGAAACTGTCAATGTTTGTTAGAAGAGGTGATTTCTCGACGGTTCCGTCAACGCCAATATCAAATGTTGTAACTTTTTGACAGAACACAGAAAATACACAGGACAACATGATAACAAATTAATGGAATTGAATCAAATCGATTGTCGACTGCGTGGAATTACCACTCGTGTTGAATAACCCACGTTCATGCACACAAACAACGAAAATTGTATTAATAAAAATAATGCATTTTCAAATTCAAAGTTTCCCAAAATTTGTAGATTCAACAGCAAAAAGATTCAAAATAAAAGTTAGTTTTTTTAATTGAAAGTTTTTCTTTTACTTTTGATTCGTGGTTTTAAAAGTACATATTTTTAAAACAAAAGTTGTTAAACTGTCAAAAGTACCCCTCTACGATGTTTTTACTGGCTGCACTGACATCTCATATGCCGCCTTTTCTCAGGGGGAACGACACTTCAGGATTATCCCATTTTTACCCAAACCTCTCATAAAATTTTCAACGTGCACAAAATTTAAATCCATCCTATCTATTCTTTCTATTCCCAACTTATCCCTTCTGCATGCACACAAATTGTCAAGCAAGCCGTGCAGTTTTTCGAAGTTTTCAGGTAGACCGCGAAGCATTCTGCCAGTTACTGTCAGTTTTCAACAATCTCCACAACAAACACCACGTATGTCAGTTGGCCATAATCGGTCGCGGGGGCAAACACATCAAGTGCATCACGGAAAAGACGGCAACGCACATCCATTTCCCGGACTCAAACCGATCGAATTCGACGGATAAGAGCCCAGGTGTCTCTTTGTTGTAGCATGGAAGTTGCCGAACAGGCACGAAGCAACTGTTGATTTCGTTCGAACAGCTGATTCTAGGCCCGCGAAAAGCATCACCAATAAAACCCCCTACGACAAACAGGTGAAAAAGGAATTCAGGCCATTTTTTCCACTCGGCCCGCTGCTGTTGGTTAAGGATTCGGAGAATAAAGAGCTAATGGCAAAGGAAAACACTCACCGGCTAATGGAGTTTCTGTTCGAGAATTTTGCGAATCAAAATCCGTCAGCTGAGAATATTAACCGGATCCTAGTGATCCATCGCCACCACCCGTTCCTCCTACAGTACGGTTTCGACCTATTCGGTACGGAACCGTTTTCTGCACTTGAGCTGTGAGCTTTGGTTAATATTGTTGGGCGGTGACCATTAATTACGTAACCATAAAAATAAATATGTTCGACCCCCCCCCCCTTTGGATCAAAACGTAACACTGAAAATGATCCCCCTCTATTTATTGCGTGACGCTCTAAAAGCCACCAATTTTTTTTTTTATTTTGTTATGCCTGTTTTATTTCTAGGTAATTATATTATTAATTTTCAAAATAAAAACAAAATATCAGCGTACCTGCTTTTCAAAGTTTAAGAATAGCAAAAAACTCAAGATATAAAAATAAAAACTTATGCATTTTGCAAGCATGACGTTTTTTTACCTGTATTTTCAAACTTTACAATCATTACTCCTCCTCCCCTATGTAATAATTCGTAACGATATAGGTGACCCCCTCTACCCCTATAAGCGTTACGTAATTTATGGACGCTGCATTCCAGCTAATTTTTATCTTCTTTTTACACCTATCCTCTTCGCGTTCAGACTCGTATCCCTCTGAAACTTTTTAACACCCCTCACATCACATCCATTCCCAGATCTATTCCCATCTATTTTTTCTATCCCTGCTCTATTTTCGTCAACATGACACACTCAAAAAAATCCCATCAATTATGTTTTTCCCTGGAAATCCCAAGTAATTACTAGACTGAAAAATACATCCAATTGAGTGTCGTTCCCCCTGCCTTTTCTGCTAGTCTGGCCGCTGTGAACATGAAATCCAGCTTTGAAGTTACAACAAGAGTCAGGATTTTTCTGTGGGATACCAGACACTGAAGTTTTCTCAGTTGGATATTCCGACATTATTTGCTGCTATGTAGAGACCCACGTGAAATTGGCATTCCAAATGGTAAGTACACTATTTTCATTGTTATTGTTATTGGATTTTTAGATTCTTTTTTTTTATCAGACTATGGAATCTACCAGGAAGAAGTCGCGACAGTTTTCGGTATCGACCTTATCAAATTCCTGTTGGAGAAGGATCAAGCCCTACTGGATAATAACGAAAAAGGTAAATTAAACTTTGATCGGGAGAAGGACGAGAACCCGCTGCCCGTAAAACCCGTCACCAGTTGGTACTTTATGAAGCTGCGGCATAGGATTTACAGATTACGAAATGGTAAACAATATCAAGCTTGCCTTGCCAGTGTCCGGATTTTGTGTTCCTTCACTCGACCTTTACTTGACGGGATGTGAATATGTGTCTCTTCGTGAATCTCATTGCATAACGCTTGTAAAGGAAATGGATAATAAATGTATTTTAATCTTTTTTTCTTATATCTGATAACCTTAAATTATATATTATTTAGAATTTAAAATGAATAAAGGTGTTATTACGGTGAAAATGTGTATTTTTTATTTCAAAATGTTACTCTTCGTTTTAACTATATCACATTTTCAAATCAAAACATCGTCTAGAATTGAAAAGAACCTGATTTTAATTCTATCACTGCCGTGTTTTCAATTTGACAGTAATACAATTTATTTTGAAAGCTTTAACTTTTAAAAGTATAGAGCGAACAATTTTTGATTTAACAGTTGGCTGACTTTTGTTTTGAAAGTCAACCGCTTTCTACCAAAAAGAACCAATGCGAACTTTTAATTCTATCAATGATTTTTTTAATTTTAGCAACGATTTTTCTTTGTGTGTGGTATGCAGTTTCCCATAAATAAACTATTATGCTAATGTTTTGGTAAACATTCCTAAAGGAAAAACTTGCATATATTATTGAATTTGCGTTACGTGTAGGCATGTGAAACGCAGATAGTATTTATTTTATTTTAAAGTAAAAAAAAACAAAATTACATGATTATGCTTGTGATTTTGTAGAAAATGAACATCGATATAGACGAAGCCTGGGTAGTGATTGGCGACTGTAAAAGGATACTTTTTTATTTAGTTTGATATCCATTTTATATCACACACGAAGATTTAAACAAAATGCCAACACTGCATGCGTGAAGGTGCATTGTGAGTCAGTCGGTCTAAATGACGTACGTTCTCCCTCCTCTTGGGTATATAGGGGAAGAATATTGAGAAAGTGAAATGAAAATCAGTTTTCAACGATACTCGTCATCAAACCATCGTCATCAATATTATCTTTCAATAATATTGTCAGTATGTCAATCTATTGTAAATATATTGACCTGTGTAACAAACGCTTTAGTGTATTGTCATTAATGTTGTCAATATTTATATATTGATTATATTGTAAGGAAAATTGACAATACGATGTTTGTCAATATATTGACATATGTAATGGGCGCTTTGAGGTGTGCTGCTGCCGTCTTCTTCGTTCGATCTCACTTGGCCATTGACGCGAAGGGGAATTATTGACAATAATATTGATGATGTGATTACAGAATTATTGTCAATATTGATGTATTGACGTCAATATAGAATGTATTGACCATACGATTATTGCCAAATCGTGTAGGGTCCACTTTAGGCTGGTTGACAAGGATGAAGACACAACTCATGTTTTCGATGCTAACCTTGCAGAACAAGCAATTCATTTCAAAATTTGAAACACTAGGAATCAACGACTATAACACATTGAACCAAGGTGAAATACACTTAAATTAAATGTGATTATGTATTTGAATATTCGGTCAAATATCGAGATTTTGGCTAGCAAAATTTCGCTAAAACATTTTGTCGGTCACTTTCTTAGAATATAAAAGGTCGAACAAAAATTGAAATGTAAACACTGAATACCCGGCCGTATAGCACTAATCGGTGCAACTCTAGTCTATACATTTACAAACTTTCATAATGTTTGCTATTAGAGTATGATAATAACAGAGGTGATACCAACAATTACTTGTTACTTACCATTTTCATACCAGGTTTGAGCCCCTGGTGAAGCCTCTATCAAAAGCAAATTATAATACATTTTAATTAAAATTTCCTGTTCCGCCGCTCATATGTTATAATTGTCTTAACGTTTCATATTTATCTATTTTCCAGGATTATGCTACCTTTTACTTTCCATCGTTCGATTCTGCGGATTTCTAACTGGAATCCTGAGTATGACGGCCAGTATTCTAATCTATTACTACAGGCTCATGACAGGAATTGTTAGGCTGTGGGACATTGTTCCGACGAAGTAATGTATTTTTAGACAATCATGTTGCATCATATCTTATTCCCGTCTGTTTTCAGGACAAACATATGCCTCATCATTTTCTGGATCAACCTACTGGAAATATTGCTAATAGGCTTTCTACCAAAACTGTATCGAACTGTGATGGGCAAACCAGGACCAAAATCTAGTCAAATGTTAGTCAATGTCATATGCGTAACGTTGCTGCTCTCTGCACTAATTCATAAGCCACATAACGTTATTTTAGTAGCGTCAATCGTGTCTTCTAGTCGTTATTTAGTTGAGAGAATAGATCACATAGCGGAAAGTAAAACGGAAAACTTGCTGCTAAAGATTGTTACTCACGTGTGGATGGGAAAGCTGTTCTATTTTTATCAGGTAATGTATAACATTCCTGTAATAAATCGATATCAATTCTGACAGAATTAAAATTTCAGGGTAATTCCAATAATTTGGCAACCGTTGATCTCAATGCAGGATATGTTGGCTTGAGCAGTTTCAACTTTACTCGTGTTGGATTGTTCCTCACGCTCAACACATTCAACGGTCAAATTCTTAGTTATCTCATGCTGGTGTATCATCTGATGAATGGAATTCTGCGAGAACCAACTATTAAATCCATTGCAGTTGAGCAAAGTAGAATAATTGTAAAGCAATCTTCGCTTAAACTACTGAGTCTATTACTAATGGCTCCACTAACGTTCTATTTAATAATAGTGACATTGATGCGAAATCACATCTTTGTATGGACCGTTTTCTCGCCAAAAATCATCTACGACTGCTTCTATACTGTGTTAGTCTTGATTCAGATAATAGTGCTCAATTTTATGTTCAAGTAACTTAATTAATGTGATGCAATAAAAGGAATAGTTCGGATCAATGGAACAACGCCAACTTGCGGTATCAAATAGAACCAGCTGTTGCTTTAATCAAAATGATGTTGTTTCTTAATGCTAACATGGAGTCAATAAATAAAAGTTTTGTTTCTTAAATCAGATTACTTGCCTGTAGCGCGTAATGCACGTCGTCAGAACTAATGTTTAGAAGAATCTTCTGATAAATGTCATTGCGAGAGTTTTCACAGATTAGTATACGTGATGCTCCCAACCGGCTGCAAATGGCAATCGCTCGTCCAGGATTCGGTACCGTTATGCCGGCAAATGCTGCGAGCGATTCGAATTGCGCGTATACACCCAGAAAATTGCATTCCTCTATGCCTGTGCGAGTAACCTAGTAGAAATGTGAATGAAATTGAAAGCAGTTTGTGATGAATCTGTATTTAAAAAATTACCTCTGCTGTAACTGCTTGCAGAAATAGTTGTTCCATTCGTGAACAGCTTTTGATTGTCTGTACCTTGGCACTGGCAATCATCTCACCGAGAGCCTGCTGCACATGAACCATTGAAACGCTCACAGAACGACCAGTCTCTCGAGACTTATCGTCCGCTATTTCAGTCGCCCGGCGACAAATGTCCAATGCTCGCCGAGCATCGCCGGAAACGGCAGCCACTTTCCGCGCTACCAATTGGACGGCTTCAGCATCAAAGGCAGAGGTTCCAATTAAACGGGCCATGACGATTTCTTGCAGCTGACGGAAGTTGTACGGTTGGAAGGTCAGTCGTGTCAAACCAAGTCGCGATGAAATTTTTCCCATCAGTAAGCGTTCCGGCAGGTCCATGGTATTTGCTATGGTGATGACAACCAGCTGGGCGGAGCTCAATGTTGGCCAATTTAGCAAGTTGTACACGACATCCTGACGTTTGTTGCAAAGGATGTCCAATTCATCGACCAAGACAACAGTAGTTACTCGACGCGGTGCTTTCGTGGTGAAACGTTTCTCAAGCAAATTGTACGCCTGCTCCCACGCTAATGTTTTCCCCGTTAGCTGACGATAGATATGAACGTAGGCTTGTCTTGGTTCAGTCAACCGCATTCCATTGATTTCCACAAATTCAAATTTGGGAATTTCTTCTTCTTCAGCCAAGGATTGTAATGAACGAATAACCGCAGTCGTTGTAGCAGTCTTGCCCGTTCCCGGAACGCCAGAAACATACATGCATCCTCCACAGCCATCAATGATCTTTCCTTCAACGAAGTTGAACATTTCACTGTACTCCTTCTCCCGACATGGGAGACTACACGGGACTGCTGAAACGTGCAAGCGTTCCCGTGCCATTGCCAGTTGATTATCTAGAGAAGTCTTTATGGGAGCGTCTCGCTTGTGAATAGTGGGTTTGATAGCACCCGAACGTATTAGTTTCATCTTAGCAGCACTACTCGGTGTAGACTGTGAAGCTGTTTTGGTTGCTCTGGACCGAGGCGTTTTCGGTTCTTCAATAACAGATTCAGACTTTTTCGGAGTTTGACTAATCTTCCTATAGACGCGCCTGCTCTCGGTTAACTCTTCGACAATATTAGACAGCTGAATATTGCGTTTCGGCGTTCCCACAGCTTCGGTAGCCTTGGTGCTAGGTGTCTTCAGTATGCTCTTTCGTCTTGGTCTGCCAGTTGGAGTTCGTAGGAGTTCTTCTTCGACCGTAATTGACTTCCTAGTTTTTCTCGGAGATGTTTCGTTATCAATAATGTCCATGTATGTAGACCGTTTTCTAGAAGATCTTCTTGAAGGAGTATCAGCTTCAGATTTCTGACGCTCCGACAGCCTTAGTCTTATCTTCAGATCTGGAGTATTTTTAGATTCATCCTTGATGATAGAATAGTTTGCAACTTCTTCATCTGATGTCGCAGATTCAAAATGGAGACTGGCATTCAAATTTCTACGAAAATTTCCCGATTTTCGCCTAGCGCTGTTCATACGTGCAATTTTTGAAGGCGAGATGTTTTCCTCATCACTTATTTCGACCTCACCTAGCTCTTCGGTAACCTTCACGAGATTCTTCTTATAGGAATCATCAATAACCATACATTCTTCTCGGTGCAAGGCAACTATGGATTTTCTTTTATGAAGAGTTGCTTCCGTGGTCGATTGCTTCAACCCCAGCAACTGCATTCTCCTAGTCCCAGGAAGATGACTTAGTTTATAGCGAGCTACAAACAGCGGAAGTTTGGTAGTGTTTTTCGCAATCAGTTCCGAAATATTGATATCAGTGTCCGCGATTACAACTTTGCAATGTCCAAAAATGGTTTCAATATTTATGTCCGGACTAAAGCGATAGTCTTCGATGATTTCGTAATCGAAATTGAAGGTATAATTCTCATCGTGAATGATTTTAGCTGGCATAGCTGACGGCCTAGAATACCACTGTACAGTGGCCCTAAACACATCCACTTTTGGGTCATCAGTCAATAGTTCATACATATGCTCAATCAGAGCTATATCACATCCAGAAATTGAATCTGGCTCAGCATTGTCCATGTTCGAAACCAGAACATAGTTTCCTACCTCCAGAGTGAGTGATCCCAAAATACATTTTCTGCAAACGTTAAAGTGGTTCATTAATGACACTATAATTACCGTCCACAGTACGAATTACCTGTAGAAGCAAGTCTGATGATATGTATCAGGGCGTCCTATTTGTGGTTCATACTGTTTCCCGACCCAGCTTATAGCACTTCTGTTATTATTGATTTTCTTCTTCATGTTTAGTAACGCAACGTTATAAGTTTCAGTAGCAAGTTAGGTATTCAATTCAAAATTAACTGCACATACAAAATTTAATTTGCAATCGTGAAAAATCACCTTCAATCCCGAGTGCTACTGCTTCCCGCTCAAAAGATGGACTGTTATGATTGAAGTAGAGCCTGAATTCAGGTTCTTTAATTGAAGGTGCTACAGTTGCCGACGAGCTTGATGAGTGGCCTTGAGTCACAGGCTGAGTGGGTGATATCAGTATTTTCGCGCCCTTTTTCTTTTTACCGAATACATGAACCGGTTCATTCTGATCATTCAATCTATAGATACACGGATACTTTCATATACTCATCGATGATTAAAATTTAACCCTTTTTATATAAACCATTAACGCACGCTATTTCAAAACTACTTAGGTATCTGCACTTTCTTCGATAATCGGTAATTTCTACCGATATTTAGGTATTCTTTACCGACTTTAAGGTATGTGCATCTTAGCGTGTAATGTAGCTAAACGAACTGTCAGTTAGTGTAGCCAAATGAGCATGACGTCATCATGGTGTTGTTTGAGGGAGAAGTATTGTAAAATTATGAGCACAAAACGCTTTCTACACTCCAAATTCCGATTTATTTCGCGGACAACGGAAGAAGGAAAGATAAAGCAAACCATTCCTCGACTCATTGTTGCAAAGATTTGCTTTGCACTTCATTTTGAATTTTTACGCACGAAACAAAACAAAACTACACAACGAAGAGCTTTATGATGGCATGAACTTATTTCACGAATGCCAGTAAGATCATTTGTTTTTCAAGGTTGCCAAAAGAACCTTTTGTGCCTCCGCTTATCTATGGAATCTATAGTATCTATAGTCGATCCCAACATAATTTACCCATTTTTGGGTAGGTTCAGTTTTGACCGATCTGGGTAGATTCTACCCAAATTAGGGTAGTTTTGAAATAGGGTGTTATCTGTTTTCTCTGTCAACATTTCAAACCCATTAATAAGTAAAAAAATACCCATTTTCAAACCATGCATGCAGCTATAAAAAAATGGGGGATTTTGGAAATCATAAAATGGGAGAACAAATACCCATTTAGAGAAACAGTTCACGGTTACATAAACACTATTTTTATTTTGCTGGAAACCCAGCAAAATTTTGCTGGATTTTGCCGAGCTGTAAAATCAGCAATTCAGTTGATCAAACCTGAGTTGATCAAACGTTGAATAATAGCTTCCACAGTTGTACAAGAATGTAGTTGTATTGCTATTTGGTTAAAAGCTTCAAAAACTGCTTGGAGCACTCTTAAATGATTGTTTACGTTCGGTTAAACTGTTTGACAGGAGCCATATAGGATGTGGAATAAACGCATCAAAACAAACCATTGGGAGCTCTTATAAAACACCTGAGTTGATCAAACGTTGAATAATAGCTTCCAGAGTTGAACAAGAATGTAGTTGTATTGCCTTTTTGGTTAGAAGCTTCAAAAGCTGCTTGGAGCACTCTTAAATGATTGTTTACTTTCGGTTTAACTATATGCTTTATAAGACCTACGATAACTTTTATAGCATCTTTGTTAAACTGATTGACAAGAGCTATATAGAACGTGACATAAACGCATCAAAACAAACCATTGGGAGCTCTTATACAACACCTGAGTTGATCAAACGTTGAATAATAGCTTCCAGAGTTGAACAAGAATGTAGTTGTATTGGCATTTGGTTAAAAGCTTCAAAAACTGCTTGTAGTACTCTTAAATGATTGTTTACGTTCGGTTAAACTGTTTGACAGGAGCCATATAGGATGTGGAATAAACGCATCAAAACAAACCATTGGGAGCTCTTATAAAACACCTGAGTTGATCAAACGTTGAATAATAGCTTCCAGAGTTGAACAAGAATGTAGTTGTATTGCCTTTTTGGTTAGAAGCTTCAAAAGCTGTTTGGAGCACTCTTAAATGATTGTTTACGTTCGACCAACCACCAACCACAATTTTGTTGCTAAAAATAGCACAAGTGATAGGCATGTTTATATAACCATAAGGCAATGATTATTCGACTGCAAGAGAAGTCACTCAAGATGAGCTTGATATACTTCTCTCATATGATCAAAATATGTATTCAAGAACAGAGCAGATGGAAACAGAAGCGGCTGGCAATCCGGAATCATGAGTTCGAATCTTGCTTCGAGAAACCCTCGGTGGAGTAGAGGTAAATTATATATAGGTGTTATTAATAAATGCAAACATTAATTTAAGACATATATCATATAATCAACGATAACATTTCTAGATAAATTCTCTCAATTAATTATTAGAGAGATTAATTGAAAGAATATCAATCAAAGATTAAACAGATGCTTGTTACTACTTCCTCCATGAACACAGAATGTGAATTATGGCATAATTACATATTTTTTCAATGTGCACAAATAAATTAAATTAATAAAAACTGTACAAGCAATTATTTTGGCGTACCACGACAATTGTTAAACTAATTTTAATCTGTGAATATTGTGAGTACTTACACAACGGTTATTAAGGAGTCATTGAAAAGTGCTATAAACGCTTTTCACCGCTTGCTGTATAGTGATTATTTAGGAGTCATAAAAGAGTGTAACAAACGCCTCTCAGGTTCAATCTCTAAAACATTTCGAAGCAGCTGTTAGGAGGTGTCTACAAACGTTGTATTAGAGCTTTCACCAAAACAATAAAGCTTGAGTTTAAATATGTATCTATAAACGTTGTATAAAAGTCGCTTCTATCCGGTTGTTAAGGAGTCATTGAAAAGTGCTATAAACGCTTTTCACCGCTTGCTGTACAATGATTATTTAGGAGTCATAAAAGAGTGCAACAAACGCCTCTCAGGTTTACTCTCTACTAAATTTCAAAGCAGCTGTCAAGAAGTGTCTACAAACGTTGTGTACGAGCTTTCACCAAAATAATAAAGCTTGAGTTTAAATATGTATCTATAAACGTTGTATAAAAGTTGCTTCTATCCGGTTGTTAAGGAGTCATTGAAAAGTGTTATAAACGCTTTTCACCGCTTGCTGTTCAATTAATATTTAGGAGTCATAAAAGAGTGTAACAAACGCCTCTCAGGTTTCCTCTCTACTAAATTTCAAAGCAGCTGTTAGGAGGTGTCTACAAACGTTGTATTAGAGCTTTCACCAAAACAATAAAGCTTGAGTTTAAATATGTATCTATAAACGTTGTATAAAAGTTGCTTCTATCCGGTTGTTAAGGAGTCATTGAAAAGTGCTATAAACGCTTTTCACCGCTTGCTGTACAATGATTATTTAGGAGTCATAAAAGAGTGCAACAAACGCCTCTCAGGTTTACTATCTACTAAATTTCAAAGCAGCTGGCAAGAAGTGTCTACAAACGTTGTATAAGAGCTTTCACCAAAATAATAAAGCTTGAGTTTAAATATGTATCTATAAACGTTGTATAAAAGTTGCTTCTATCCGGTTTTAAGGAGTCATTGAAAAGTGTTATAAACGCTTTTCACCGCTTGCTGTTCAATTAATATTTAGGAGTCATAAAAGAGTGTAACAAACGCCTCTCAGGTTTCCTCTCTACTAAATTTCAAAGCAGCTGTTAGGAGGTGTCTACAAACGTTGTATTAGAGCTTTCACCAAAACAATAAAGCTTGAGTTTAAATATGTATCTATAAACGTTGTATAAAAGTTGCTTCTATCCGGTTGTTAAGGAGTCATTGAAAAGTGCTATAAACGCTTTTCACCGCTTGCTGTACAATGATTATTTAGGAGTCATAAAAGAGTGCAACAAACGCCTCTCAGGTTTACTATCTACTAAATTTCAAAGCAGCTGGCAAGAAGTGTCTACAAACGTTGTATAAGAGCTTTCACCAAAATAATAAAGCTTGAGTTTAAATATGTATCTATAAACGTTGTATAAAAGTTGCTTCTACTCCTATACCGCGTATACATATAATGCTGTAGTTGAACAGGTTCTCCAAACCAGTGCAAACAAGAGTTTTACAGAAGTTGTAATAAACAAATTGTGCAGTTATTATTCAGCATGCAGTTGAATAAAATCACAATGGAAGCGTTTCTTCAACAAGAAATTGATTTTGGGTAAACGTTTTACTGAATACGTTAGACAACACCTTTGTATTGCAGTTGTATAGGTTCTCCAAACCAGTGTAAACAAGGGTTTTATAAAAGTTGTGGTGAACACATTGTGCAATTATTATTCAACATGCAGCTGAACAAAATCAAAACGAAAGCGTTTCTTCAACTGGAAATTGTTACTTGGGTGCCTTCCTGCGCATTGCCGTCAATGGATGGCAATCGATGTCCGGTGATTGGCACTAGATTGCGGAACAGAGACCGACGTTAAATAAAGGAAAGAAGAAGAAGAAACCGAAGTAAAGGGTCTTGAAACCCACGGAGGCAAGTGTTCCAAGCTCGACAAAACTGGTTTCTGATGAACGTCGTTTCTGATGCCTATCCCCATATCATCCTCACCCCCACTCGAAGTCGAGAGAAAAAAGAAAATCTGAAATGGATTCTGAATCCATTCCGGATCATTCCCCAACACCCGAGCCAACACCAAACGTAGAATGAGCCCGGTATGAGGTATAAGCCCGGTATAAGCGACAAAACGACGCTAATATCACAAAGCTTCACCGTTTATACTGAACTTAAACCCCAGAAATACACATCCCGACGGTTCCTTGGACGGGATCTTGGACCAGTCACAGACCACCCTTAATCACACCGAAAAATAGCAGGATATTAGATGCGCCGTGTGCAGATTTACATTTATTTGCTATCGATTTTAAAATAATTTATAAAATATGTTTGTTTATTTTAAACATGATCACAAATATAGTTGTCATATCGAACAAAACTATTCACGTTTGTTACCGCGAGACAATTAATCTACAGATCAAAGCCATAAGCAAATCCACATAGTTGCACAAGGTCCGTTGATGTCGATACCAGTTTCAAGAAAATGAAATGAAAAGTAGGGTAAAACAAAAACGATCGCTCGTTTACATAATATGCCTGCACTATTTATCTAGGAACGCTCATGCTTTCGAGTGAAGAATAACACACCCACGTGCGTATACCGTAAGGCATAATTTTCCCTCTCGGTTTATCCTTAAGGAAGGATATGATTTACTGTTTAAGCGCTACAAATGTTTCAAATTCATATTTGTTAACCTTTTCAGACCTGAGTAAAATAAACCAACAAACTTAGAAAAATGACGA